TAAATAATTTTAAATATATTTTTCCCATTTACTTTTTATGAAAACTTTGAACTAAATTTTGCATTTTGCATTTGAATTTGGAAAATCTGTTTTAAGAAGCGCAAAAAATTGCTGCAAAATGTAAGAAAAAAATATTTGGTTAAGATTTTTATTTAAAAAATATAGCTCTATATTTTATTTTCATAATACATATATAATTTTTTTTTCAATTTATTTTGAAGCGCAACGCTTGACTGAATTTGCTAGATCGTCTTACGTAGCGCTGGGCCTATTGCCAAGTTCTAAGCGGTTTAGCTCGTTTTTTAGAGCCCACACACACACACTGAGACATTTACATATATATAAATATGTCTTTATATATATATATATAAATCGTTGCACATGCCAAGACAAAAAATATGATCCTAAGCGAACGAATGTTAAAGGCTTATGTCAAGCGCACACTTGGCTGCCGTCAAGCGAGGCCCTGGATGAGCGAGAGAGTGAGAGAGAGAGGGCAGAGAGGGAGATGGCCATATATATATGTATATATATTGCTGTGCATCACATTTGTAGCGCGATAACTGAAGCCAAATCCGCTTAGGGCCAAATAATCGCCGTTTGAAAATAAAAACACGCGCATCAACGACACCAAAGACCAAAGACCAAAGCTGCCAATGATTATAAACCAATAACAACAACAGCAACACACGCTGTGGCAGCCACAGATTTGAGATCTGCGTGCAGCCTTCGCTCAGTTGTCAATGTATTATATTCCAATTCCTATTCCATTCCATTTGCCGCCTCTAATGACATATTTAAAAGGTGTTAATCGTCTCATTGAAAGATTTGTCAGGCAGATTGTTTAAGGCCAGACACAGACACACACACATACATATTATATATATACATATGAGTATACATATATACCTTTATCTAGTCATATATCTGCTGTAAATATTGATGTTGCTTTTATGCCTATTTTGCCAGCTTAAACAAAGATCTAGCTCAATGCATTATCCTTAGCTCTGGCATAGCACAGCTACCCCTGCTGCTGCTGCCCGAGCTACCCTCTGCGCTACCCTACTTCGCCGCTTCTCTGCCTGGCTATAGCCCGTGTCTCGCTTCCCTATTAGTTGCAGCCGCTGCTCAGTCAATCGTATTTTTGGCTTTATGGCGCATTATCCTCTAAATCGCAAACAAAACTGCAAACAAATTTTGCCAATGCCAAGACCAGGCTTAAGCCCAACAACAACAACTGCAGCAGCATCGGCAGCAACAGCAGCAGCTAAGGCATATGGCTTAGCCAACTGACCTCAGCTAAAAGGCTAAGACCCAAAGACATTTTCATTCACTGCCGACATTGATATGCAGTAGAAATTGCCATGGATTAACTGACACACAGAAATAGACAGTGTAACATTAGTTATATATAATATTCACTTCCTTAGCTCAATAACAAATTCACTTAAATTACAGGGTATTATTTTATTATTGAAAATCATTGAACTTCTATTATTTAACAAATATATATAGCATAACTAAATTACAGGTTATACATATAAAATGATGTTTTCATCTAAATGTGCTTGACAAAATTACAGGGTATTATTTAAGCACTGCAAGTCACACTACATACACAACAATATTTATGCACAATTTACTGCCTTGACAATTTGAACAGGACATTAGATATGCAGCAGTATGCAATAAATTATAGGGTATTTTATAGGCTGCAGTTTAACTTAAAGTGAAACACTCAACGTGGACGATGCAGCAACAACTTTTATACATTTTTCATGACAGTTCAAAAGGTTATATTTAGAATTTACGCATTTATGCAATATGCTGCTAGATATATGTGAGTATGTTTTATATATATGCACATATACACACACATATATTTACATAATCATATATAAATATACATTGGCTGCACTGGATTTAGCGCCTGCGCAGTTGCTTATATACAATTGAATTTCGTCACCAGCTTTACGCATACTGCACCACTGTGCTGCTTGCTGCCCAACGATTGGCGCTGCTAGCGTTGACCAATCAGCATTGCGCAGTTTAAGCTGCTTGCAAGCAGTTAAGCAGTGCATGACAAGCAGTTAAAATTCCTTATATGCCCGTTTTTAGAACATTTCTGAGTGCAAGCGCAAGGAAATTTCCATGTGCACTAAAAATGTGATAAATCGTTAAGTTTTAATAATAGATCTAAATGTTTGACATTTGTGTGGCTAACAGTTATTAGCTATGTAAAGTTGGCATAAGACTGTTAACTTTCGTAAGAATTTAGAACAAAATTTCCCATTTGCTACTGGTCTTTAGAACGAAAATTTAAGCAGTTCGCCATAGAACAACTTAACATAGAGAGAACATGTTAATATTAACAGCATGTTAACATGAGCCAGAACATGTAAATTACAGTTGAAATATGTATGAAGGCGTACATACCCTGTGCGTTCAATATTTTTACTCATGTATGTTCATAAAATTAAATTTCTTTTGTTGATTTTTTCTGTTTTAAACCATTTTTATTTTTAAAAAATTAACATGCCTTTTATTGTTGTTGTTGTTTGTTTCTGTTTTAGCTATAATTATAATTACTAATTAAGTAAATGTTTTGTTACCATTCTTAGCCATTTTAATTGTTTTTTTTTTATTTTTTTTTTTTGTTTTTAATTTATTATAATATTAATCTATTTAAAAATTCAACACGAAAGTTCAGCTAAAAAAATTGCTCAATTGTTGCGTTCAACGTTAAACGTTTTTGATTTTGTTGTTGTTGTTGTTTTTAATTGTTTAAACAATTTTTTTTGCTTTGTGTTTTTGTTTTAAACCCAGCCACAAATTGCAATATTATTAATTAATATTGATTTTTTATAACAATTTGTTCGTAATCTAATTAACAATTTTATGCAAAAGTTTTGTGTCTTTAAAAATAAAAACAAAGCTTAAAACTATGCATAATTAATTAATTAAATTTTAGAAAAAAATTAAAATTGAGCATTAAAAATTAAGTGAACACAACAGCAAAAAAATAAGATATATCGATATATATATATATAGATATAGATATATAGATAAAAACCATTTACAATATTTGCTACAGGTATGTGTGTAAGTATGTGTACAAGTGTGTGTGTGTGTGTGTAAAATGCAAGTGCTGCAGGCCCTGCCAAAAATGTTGACTGTGCTAAAAACAAAATTAACAACAAATAACTTTAAAACTAAATTTAAAAAATTAAAGTTAAAAAAAAAACCAAAATTTACAATTTTTGCTTTTTAAATATAAAAGTTGTACGTTTAGTAATTATATAACAAATTTAATTAGATTAAATTATTAATTATTATTATTTATATATATATATATATATTGCTACTAGATCTCTGAACTCTAGAAATTGTTTTTGTTTTTTTGTGAACCTCATGGACGGATGTTGAATCTGAAGTGTAAAAAATTGGCGCACAGCAGCTCAGCGAGTGGCCGCATACAACCCCCGAGTGATGTCAAAGAGGGGCGATGAAAGGGGGTTAGCAAGTAGCAGAAGTCCGGACATTACTTGAAGGATCACAAGCTTCTTATATCAAACATATGCTAAGGTTAGTTCAGCGCAGCGAGAGACTGACTGCATAGAATACTCGAGAGGGTTAGGGTGGAAAGGAAGGGGGAGCAACGTTGGGGCACAAAAATGGATACTCAACTACTCTAAGTTAGCCATAAGTCAGCTCTAGAAGAGGCTGCATAGAGAGGCTGAGAGGGGATGTGACAGTTATGAGTTAAGGGTTGAATTAAGTAAAGATTACAATTTTGATTTAGTTGTGCTAAAAGTTAACTCAAATCAAGCTGCATAGCTTGTCAAAGAAAGGGTTGGCGGGGGTAGCTTTGCTGGGGGTTAGTAGTGTCAATTAGGGGTAGTTGTGTAGGGGCAGCTTTAAAGATCACAATTTTCAATTAGAGACTAAAGTTAAGGCAGCGCAGCTTGCAAAGTAAGGTCAAGGAGTGGAGCTGGGGGTAGGTAGTTGTGGAGCTTTATGGATCACAATTTTGATTAAAAGACTTAAGTTAAGGCAGCTCAGTGAGAGGCTGGCGACAATACACGAGGGATGTTAGCGAGGAAGGGTTGGACTATGAAAAGGGATAAAAGGCATGCTTAGGGAGTGTGGGTGGCTGCCTAGTAAGAGTAGTTGTAGGAGTGTGGGGCTGCAGTTGGAGGCGTACAGCGTGTGTGGGGCTGAGTGAGGGGTAGGATGGGGCGTGGCAACATTAAGGATCACAATTTTGATTTTAAACACTAAAGTTAACTAGATGCTAGTTTACTCTCATTTTGTACAGTGTATACGCAAAACGTGCTTCGTATATCGCATATAGGCATCTAAGGCATAGTTTTTCTTATACTTTTTCGATTTTTCTAGTTTCAACAAATGAAAATTTTTCACATTTTCTTCATCATTTTTTTTTTTTACCAATTATTTACAACAATTTCGTATCACATTTGCATTTCGTTACATAAAAATTGCTTTATATATATATTGTATATATATACGTATGTGTGTGTGTGTGAGTGTGTGTATACTTTTTTGACACAGTGTCAGTTTGTTGTATGCGCACGTATTCATCATTTGAGCAGCACTGTGCGAAAATTTTTCACGCTGGAAAAAAACTTGCGAACTTTTGCAAAGCGCAACGTTTCCTCATCGACTTAAGACTAACTAAATAGATATCGAGAGAGATATATATGGATATATATATATCTTTTTTATAAGTTAGTTTAACTAGTAGCTAAGTAAAAGGTACGAGTATAATAATTCTCTGTGTGTGTCTGTGTGTGTGTTGGCTAAAACAGTGTGTTCTGGCTATAACGTACAACTGTGTATATTCAGTATTTGCATATATGTATACTATATACTCTATATAAAGATTATATCTGTTAATTAAATTGAATTTCTTATTGTTTTTGTTTTTGTTTTCTGTTCCTAGATAAACTCTGAAAAACAATAACAAATTGAAAGCCCTTAGTTATGGTCAATATGTGAAGTATATGGACAAAAGTGTGCACAGACATACTGCCTAGACTGTATATATATCTATCTATATATATATCTGATCTGTATATATATATATCTGTTGTCTTGCCTAGCTGCTTGCTTGTATATATCGAAGAAATGCCTAAGTTTACAAAAGGAGGTGGCGCCCTCTGGCGTCGCCGGCATGCACTAAAAACATCTGCCAGTTAAACTGGCTGTCAAATTTATTGCCTTTTCTGTTGTTTTTTTCCTTTTTATTTTTACACTCGACTAAAGACTAAAAAATTTGCTTTATTTAAGACTACATAACAGGATTTACGCATGGGTTTTAGAACTGCTGCTGCTGCTGCTGCTGCTGCTGCTTCTACTCCTCTTCTCCTTCTACGCTTTTCTTTTGATAACTCTTTTGAAGAACTCTCAAACTGTAACTCATTCACTCTAACTTCTCTTCTCTGCTTCTGCTTCTGCTGCTGCTGCTGCTTCTTCTTCTTCTTGCTTGTTGTGTGGGATTAGGTAACTACGTAGCTCTCATTGTTTCTGGTATTTTTTTTTTGTTTTGTTTTTTTTTTTGTTGTATAAACTTTTTTTTGCTTTACTTTTGTAATAAACTTTTAAACTAGCGCGTATTATTTATTGATTCCTCTCCTTCTGCTTCTACTTCTGCTTCTTCTTCTTTTCCTGCACTGATGCCTTAGCCTTGAGCTTTCAGATATATCGTTTGCTTCTTGCACTGAGTGACTGCCAAACTGTAGCTGCAGCTATAGACATTTGTTGTTCATCTCCACTTGTCAGTGACTGTCAAACTGCTGCGTCAGCTGCCTTTTGTGTTGTTCTCTTCTATATTTGCCAATTTTTCTAGATTTGCAGCTGTCAGTGACTGTCAAACTGCAGCCTTAGCCATGCCGTTGCCTTAAATTTCGCTTTTTGCCTAAAGCTGACGTTCAGTGTCTGTCAAACTGTTGCTATATATTTGACAATTTTTGTGTCTACTTATTTTTCTAAACTATTTGCTTGGCTGTCTGCAGTCAGTCACTGTCCAACTGTAACGCCAGTTTGTGATTTTTCCCAATTTTTCTAGATTTTTTTCTGGCTGGCCGTCAACTTTTAGTTGCTGTCAAACTGTAGTCTGAGCTGTGGAAATATATTTTACTTTTTTTTTCTTATATGTATATAACTGATCTGACTGTTGGTTGCTGTCAAACTGTAGCTATATATTTGGAAGATTTTGTTTAGTTGTCTGCCTGCTGGCAGTGGCTGTCGAACTGTAGCGTCAGCTGCATTTTAGGTTTTTATTTGGCATTTTTTCTGGATTTTTTGAGGTTTGCAGTCAGCTGTCGTCAGTGACGGTCAAACTGTAGTTTAACTGCCTGTCTGCCTAGCTACTCTGCCAGCTGCCAATGGCTGTCAAACTGTCAAGCTTCGATATCTGTATGTTCCTCTGCAGCATCAGTGACTGTCCAACTTTAGCTATAAATTTACTTTATATATATATATATATATATATGCAATTCTATATGTATATATATCTTTGCTTATTTATCTACTATTCGTCTAATTGGCTGCCAGCTGTCAGTGGCTGCCAAACTGTGGCTGCTATTGATGGCTCTTGCTGAGCAGATGCGCATTGAACTCGTAAACATTGTTGAGCTGCTCCCCGCAGATGTTGCACTTCCACGGATTGCTCTCGCAGTGGCAGCCCTTGTGCAGAAAGTAGAGCGTCTCGTCGGGAAACTCGATGCCACAGAAGTGGCAGGTGAGAATCAGTTTGCGGTTCAGCTGGAGGTCGCTCTCCTGGCCCGACGACGTGATCGTTCCATTGCAAATGGGCGTTGAGCTCTGATTGCCGTTGTGTGTGCCGCCCGCTGGCGTTGTCGGCGTGCTGGCCGTGGCGCCACCCACCGAGGCGCCACTGGCACCGCCGCCAGCCCCGTTCAGCATCGTCTGCTGCAGCTCGTGCTCCAGCGGCGTTGCGTTACGCGTGATTCGATTGTTGGCCTTGGCGCAGATGCGACGCTTCAGATCCTCACGCAGAAGTGACTTCAGAGGCGAAACCTAAAAGGGAGAGGAGAGAGGGGAAGAGGCAGAGAGCAGAGATACGATTAGTTTAGTCCTGCTTTAATAGTTTGACCTGTTAATGCTCGCAGATGTGTGACCTTCACCGGATCTGTGACTTTAAATATATCAATCAAGAGCTAAAGCTGTGACTCCTTATCAAATTGCGACTCTAAAAACTGTCACTTTTAAAGCTTAACTGTAAAGCTGTGACTTTCTAAGCTGTGACTTTCTAAGCCGTGACTTTCTACATAAACTGTGACTTACAAAACTGTGACTCTCTAAACTAAAACATTCCATGCTATAACTTTCAAAACTCGTGAATTTCGAAACTGTCATTTTCGAAACTGTGATTTTTTTAAACTGTGATTTTCGAAACTGTGATTTTCAAAACTCGTGATTTTCGACAAAGTGATTATCGAAGCTGTGATTTTCGAAACTGTGATTAAGCTGTGCCTTTCTAATACGTAATTTTCAAAACCGTGATTTTTTAAACTGTGATTTTTTAAACTGTGATTTTTTAAACTGTGATTTTCTGAGCTGCTATTTTTTGGGCTGTGATTTTCTAAGCTGTGCTTTTTAAGCTGTAACTTTCTAAACGGTTACTTTTATAAAACCGTGACTTTCTCAGCTGTGACTTGCTAACTCTTCAAACTGTGATCCAATAACTACTCAGTGACTATAAGACTGAACTGTGACTGCAACTGACTCTAAGCTCATTCCCTTAACTGTGACTAGCCGCTCCTTAATATTGCTACTTCAACTCCAAAGCAATGCCCACTGATATCTACCTTAATCAATGAGGTGATTCTGTTGTTGTTGTTGTTGCTGCTGCTATTGTTGTTGTTATTATTAGTGTTGTTGTTGTTGTTGTTGTTGGCAGCACTTTCCGTATCGCTATTGGCATCACCATCGAGCGACTCCTTCTTATCCGCCTCGTCCAGCGGCAGCGGCTCCTGCAAGAGATGAAATTGTAAAAATCAAATTCAAATGAAAATTTCTCAGGTGATTCGAGTGCAATTGCTGCTCACCTGCTTGATGGGTATTAGACTAATCGAAGGCGTTATGTGATTCTCGTGATGGTGGTGGTGGTGGTGGTGATGTGGAAGCTGGTGATGGTGGTGAGCGTGGCTCTTGTTCGAGCCGCTGCTCGACGTAATGGGCGTGGCTTTGCAGTCCATGGGCAGCTCTTGGGGCGCCAGGAGCAGCGAATGATCCTTTGATTCCAGCTCAGTTGAACTACTATTGTTGTTGTTGTTGCTGCTGCTGTTGCTGTTGTTGTTGTTGTTGCTATTTGTGTTGTTGTTGTTGTTGTTGCCCTGTTGAAGAAAAGATTCACGCAAAACGCAAATAAGCTAAAAGAACATGAGCAAAAGATGGATCGAAGTGCGGCAAGAACTTTGAACTGTAGATGGCGCTTACATTGAACAGCTCCGTATTGCCGCTCTCGCTGAGCGTTGAGATCTCCACATGTGGCGTCAGAAAGTGCATGGGAGGCGTGGCATTCTCCAAGGAGCGCATCGATTCGCCGCTATCACTCTGATGGCTGGCCGCCACCTGCGATTGTGCCTGGGATTGGGCCACCTGTGCCACCTGCGGCTGTGCATAGCTCGCGGCTGCCGCTGCCGCTGCTGCTGCTGCCGCCGCTGCCGAGGCCTGCGACTCGAGTGCCAGCAGCAGCGAGGAAGTGCCACCCGGTCCGGGATTGTCCAGATCGATGCCGTGACGATTGAAGAAGTGAATGCGCAACGATTTCATGGACCCGGCCCGATAGCTGCACAGCGGACACGTCTTGACCAGATCGTGCTGGCCAACGTGCTCGTTCTGGAAGTGGGCGCGCATCGCGATCTGGCGCTGGAAGCCGCGATTGCAAATGGGGCAATGGTAGGGCAGCGTCTTGGTGTGCGTCGTGAAGTGCTCGGCCAGGTGATCCTTGCGGAAGAAGCGCTTCTGGCAGACGCGGCACTCGTAGGGCTTGACGCCCGTGTGCCGCATCTTGTGGCGCCGCATGTTGGCGCCATTGGAGAACTTCATGTTGCACACATCGCACTCGAAGACCTTGCGCGAGGACGACGAGGAGGAGTTGCCCGCAGGCGAGGAGCTGGCCGAGGAGCTCGACCCGGCGCCATTTGCCGCCGCCGCCGCCGTCGCTGCAGCTGCTGCTGCCGCCGCAGCATCTGTTGTCGCCAGCTCCTGCTTGCAGCTATCCATGTGACTGACGCTCATGTTCTCGGGCTCATCGCTCTGCTCGCTCTTCAGCCGCACCGCCACCACCTGCCCGGCCAGGCACTGCACCACGTGCAGCAGCAGCGTCGCCCGCGAGCTCGTCTCGAAGTTCTCGCAGCGTTCGCAACGGAATGTCATTGGCGGCGAGTGTGGCCCAGTGCTCAGATTTGTCGGCGTCGGCGTCGGCGTCGTTGCCAGCGAGCGTTGCGCCTCCGTCAGCTCCGCCTCGGAGGCAGCTTCCTTCAGGCTGCGCAGCGCCAGCGCATTGTGGTGCAGCAGGGCGGCCGTCGTTGGCGTCATGTCCACAATGAGGCCGCCCACACTGTGAGCGGTGCCTTTGAGGGCCAGCTCCATGCCGCTGGCTGCTGTGCTTATCTTTGCTTCGGCCATCTGAAAGCGGCAGAGAGCAGAGAGCAGAGATTAGAGGAGCTCAGCCGGAGTAGATAATGGATATGGATGCTATATAGCTCTGCAACCATGAGAACAGCTTCAGTACTTTAGCATCTCATTGCATACCAAATTTGAGCTGTGTAACTCTAATGGTTACTGAGCTAGAGCACTGAACCACTTGTGAACCGGTTCAAGCTTTATGCAAGCTGTGCATATATACTTATATAGCGCTAAGCTAAATATCTTTATATCTGTTTGCAGCTATTTAGTGCTTTTTCTAGAAGTTCAGCCTACCACAGAGTCGCTGAACCACTTGTGAACCGGTTCACAAAACGTGTAAGCGTATGTAAACAAGAGATTTACATATATGTGTCTATACAAGTAAACATATGTTGTTGAGAACTGGCTGTTTAGCTCGGAACCACTTTGGAACTGGTTCACAAAATGAACTTTTATGAAGAAATCTTATATATAAGGAGAATATACTATTTCAAAACAATTTAAATCCGAATTTTTAGTTATATACAACAATTTTGAGAAAGTGAACCAGCTTGGAACTAGTTCGCAGCTTATAAAGTGAACCAAATTTATTAAACGTGTCTTTTATAGAAGTTGGGCTGGATGTCATATAAGATTATATAACTTAGAGCTACTCACATAGGTAAGTGAACTATTTTGGAACTAGTTCACTTGAACAAAAACTTGTTTAATGATGATATTGAGAGTGAAATGTTAAGAAAACCTGGGCAAATCCTAAACAGCTGAAAAAGAGAACTGAAACACTACGGAACTAGTTCACAAACTGAGCCCAGTTGTCTGTTCACGTTTCTAGAGTGACTCGAGTAGTTGCGACAAGCTAAGATTCCAGCGCCATAGCTTCCACAGCTCATGGAATTTATAAGACTAGGTTAGGGATAGAGCCAGACACGCATGGGCTGCAACCAATATGCCCGCTTTGCAGCGCTTGAACGAGCATTGAAACAAAGAAACAAGCAAATCGGGGTCAGCATCTGGAGAGGTTTTGACCAATGTTTTGAGCCAATGCAATTTTATTGACTCTCTGGGCAGCAAATTGGCCAAGAACAAGTCGAAACATGCAGCGATATATATAGATGTAGATATAGATGTGTGTGTGTGTGTGTGTGTGTGTGTGTGTGTGTGTGCATCTGTCTATGTACAGTTAAGTTGGGCTGAAAAAAAACCATTTTTGGGCGTTCGCCACGTTGCATGAAAATACCAAAGTTATTGAGGCCAATTGGCTTGGTCGGGCAGGTGGGCACAGCGACACACACAACTACAGCTGCAGCTGCAGCTACAGCTACAGCTACATTGACAACAAGCTACAGATACATTTACGAGATACAGCTGCATTCTAAGTCTGAGCGCGTCTCTTCAATAGGTCAAAGTTGGGATGGTTTTTTTGTTGCTTTTGCTGTGGAAGAGTCACAAACCAAAACGAATTTTAACATAACAAATTGCGACCTTGAAATGAATGTAGTTATATATTGAGATATATGCATGTGTATAGGTGTGCGTGTGTGTGTGTGTATTGTTGTTGTTGTTGCTGCTGTGCATTAGCATTAGCCAGTTCACAAAAGCCAGGGACAATCAAGCAGACACAACTCCCAAACACAAGCTGCAAGCAAAGCCAGATATATATACATAGCTAATATATATATAATATAAATATATATATATATATATATATATATATCCATATCTATATATAGCTGCATACACTATACACTGTTTAGTCTCATGCAAATTGAGGGCATTTCATAACTTTTAGTTTAGGCCTAAATATTCGAGTGCCAAGTTTTATGTAAATCTCCTCGCTTTGGCGCCCTCAAAAGAAATAAAATATATAAGAAATAATTACAATATAAAAAGGTTTTCATTATAACAGGTTTCATTCGGCATGGCACATGCCCTTGCCGCTGGACGGGTATTCACAGCTTGTTAAACACTTTTGTTGCGCCATTTCGCTGGAGGCGGGGCATGCATCAAGTGAGTTCAAATCGAAGTTGAACTTGCAGGAAATCTTGTTAGCTTGATATATAATATATAATATATAATATATAATATATAATATATAATATATAATATATAATATATAATATATAATATATAATATATAATATATAATATATAATATATAATATATAATATATAATATATAATATATAATATATAATATATAATATATAATATATAATATATAATATAACTATAGTTAAACTAAAATTTAATCGTTTTTTTACTCCTTTCTTAGCAGCCACTACTATTTCTATGAACAATTCAATTTTTGTTCCTTTTTCCTGAAGTAAACATTGTAACAAAAAAAAATTTAAATTAATAAAAAAATATTAGTCTTAATATTCATTGCAGATTGTGTTAAAAATATTGTGTTTATCACTAAATTCAGTTGACCAACATTTGATGCTCTGTCGCACTACTATTTTTGTGAACAAGGAGAGAAATGCAGAACGAAGGCTTATAAAACTAGTGAATACTTAAGGGTTTCTTTATATATTTAAACAAAAAAGTAGCTCGTAAAAAAGGTACTTAAATTAATAATACTTTGCTTTAATCAATGGATAGATATTATTACCATATAACTATATCAGCTGGAGAGTGGAAAAGAGTAAGAAGTAGAAGACTAACAAATTATCATGAAATTATCAAATTACTTAAAATATATAATTATTTGCAGAGCATTCAACTGTCGTCATTAATTAAACCAATTGCTTAAACGTTTTCCAACATGCACATATTGCAATGAATAAGAAGTTCCAATTGGAAACAAAAGGTTCTAATAGGCCAAAGTTGATGTCTTATGAGCGTACATAATCCTATAAGCGTGAAGAATCCTATAAGATCACACAGTTAGAGTATCGAAGCTTCGCTCAATTGTTTTTGCTTCTGCTTCTTCTGTTCGTGGTTTTTAGTAGTGTCAGAGCGGGCAAGCACACACACACACTTACATTTACACGCACACATGCATACAAATAGTTGTTGCCTTTGCGTCTGGTTAATTATGAGTTGCTTAGGTGTTTTTCTTGTTGTTGTTTTTTTAGTTTTTATTTTGGTGCTTTGGCATTAAAAATGCGAGAGTATTTATAATAGTGGGCTAGTTAAGCTAGTTAAGTTAGCTGCCCAATGGAGTCATTGGGTCAAGTTTTTCGAGAGCAACTGGGTCAAACGACAACAGCAGCAGCAGAAGCAGAAGCTGCAGCAGCAGCGACGTCGACTGCGACGCACGCTTGGGATGTCCCGCATTTTCATGCGCTGCTCCCAATTGGCAAACTTTAAAATGAAAAGCAAAAACAAATCTCCTTTGCTTAGCTTGCCAAAATGAGAGCGTACACACACATACACACACAAGCAGAGAGAGACATGCATTCACACACGCACAAACACATGTACACAAGCACACGCACGCACTGCCTAAGCAGCGCAGCGACATAATTGGAACAATTTGAGAGCCCTTAATGACGTTGACGGTGACTGCGACTGCGACTGCGACGTCACGACGTCGACGTCAACAACAACTTTGCCTGTTTCTTTCGAATCCGAATTCAAATTCAAATTGAATTTTGATAAATCTTTTGTGTTATTGTTGTTGTTGGTTTAATCATATGCACGCAGCAGACACTCGCATAACCGATTTGACCTTAACAGCATTCACCTACCGGTTTTCTAGTGGCATCAAGATGAGGTCGTACCTCTTCCCAATACCTTACACCCCCTCACCCGCCCCCTATGTTTTATGCCCCCATTCATGCTCAAAGAAAATGAGTCAGTCGGTCGAGCAGCGTTTTTTGTTTTTGTTTTTTGTTTGCCTTTGGTTTTTTGGTTTTGCTTTGCGTCTTCGCATTGGCATGCCTTGCTTTCATTAGACCGCAAATCAATGAACCATTTCCAAAACGTTCCTCTATAGGCGCCGTATCCAATCAGGCACACGTTCTAGTTGGGCTTGCAAGTATGTTGTCTCTAATAAGGTGAAGTTGGTTTTGAATTGGTGTTTCAATAAAGTTAAATTGGTTTCAAGTTGTTTATAGTGCCAATTGGTTGCATTGCTGAATATCGTATTATAATATTCAAATTTACTTATTTATTTAATAAGTTGTAGAAATCTGCTTAAAAGCAACGCAGATGCAATTCAGTTCCAATTAGACGATGCTCAGTTGTTCATTAAATAAGTCCAGTCAACTAGGTTGGTTTTTGCGTACCCTAAAAACGCTGCGCCCAATAAGTCTAAGCCCGAGTTGAATTCTGATTGGAACATGTGCATGTGCGCGCATCAGTGTGTGTGAGTGACATGTGCTTAAAGAACAAGAACAAACAGGCACACGAGACGACAAACAGACGGAACACTGGGACAGTGGGACAGCGGGACAGCAGTGGGACAGACGACGTGAAACCACTTTCCACGGTGACACAGTTAAATGCTACGTGCTCTTTTGCTACTTTTGCTGCTTCTACTGCTGCTGTCGCTGCTTTTATTACAACGCACGTTGACAGCGAAGTCAGCAGCGACGCTGGCAGCGACGTTACTCCCATAATAGAAAGTGGAACAGGAATTTCCCTCCCAACATCAATGCCAGCAGCAGCAACACCAACAACTGCCGCAGCGATGATTTCATTTGCTGCTGCAGCAGCAGCAGTCGCCGCCGCGCTCATTGCGAAACACTTGCCACGGCCAACAAGCAAATGGCAACGACAACAACAAAAACAACAGTCAAGAAAAGCAGGCAAGAAAAAAGGCGTAAAAAATAGTTCAATTGTGGGCAGCGCTGCTCAGCTGAGCGCCAAGAGCAACAGAGAGCGCTCCCAATCAAGAAAGAGAGTAAAAAGTTTGCGAGAGGAAGAGAGTGGCAGAGAGAGCACGCGCGTGAGAGTAATTTAAGTGAGAGCACACTATATCCAATTGGGCAGGCGGCATGCAACATTTTTGTTTACGCATTGTTGTTCTTGCATTATCTTTAATAGTTATATATACAAATATAAATAACACATATATATATATATATATATATATATATATATATATATATATATATATATTTATTTATTTATTTATTTATTTATTTATTATTTGTATATATAACTATAGTTTAGTTGCAACTGAAATTTCATCGGGCCTAAACTTGTACATTGACATTTAATGCTCGCAACTTTCTTATTGGTTTCTAATTGCTGCACAAATTGCATTAAAACGGCGTGAATTAGTTTCTAATTATTTATGGCAAATGGTACGTCCCGTGCCGTCCCGTTCCGTTTCGTTTCGTTCCGCACACCATGCTCGCGCTCTCTTTGGTAAGTGGCACTCTGGTTGGCGTATAATTTTTTTTCTTTTTTTTTTGTGCTGACCTAATTATACGCTCATTTTGATTCACTTGATTTTCTCTGCTCACACACACAAACGCTCATATGTTTCGTCACTGCGTCGACAAGTGGAGCAGCAGCAGCAGCATTTTGCGGTGGCGTCGGCAGCCCATTGGGGCAGGCGGCGACCGCAATTCTTAATTTTTTTTCTCTTTATTTCTTGTGGTTACTGGGACGTACATTATTGGGCTTCCGAAAGATATGTGCTGGTACTCACACGCTTTAGACACTTATTCGCGCACTCTATTTATGTTTTGTATCACTTTTCGTTCCCTAGAACGTTGCCAATTGCATTTGTTTATGCGTTTCGTATTGTTGTTGTTATTGTTTTTGCGAAACACCTGCTCAACGCTTCCTCGAAATTTCACTGCGCGCGTATTCTATTCGATCAGTACGCTCTCGCGTTTAATTTCGATACCGATTTCGATGCCGATTTTCGATGCCGTTTGCCGCTGCCGTTGCCTATTCCGCTTATTGGCGCTGGCGTCGACGACGCGCACGAACGAACTGAAACCCAAGCAAACTGCAATAGCTGGTGGAAGTACAAAATGTGTTTGTATGTACGTGTGTGTGACAGAGACGCGTCGGACCGACAAACAGAGCGAACGTCTCTTGCTGCCTGTCTGACTGGCAGTCTCAGTTTCTGTTTTGTTTTGGGACGGAAATGCCAGTGGCGTAGTCGCTGCTCCATTTTTTTTATACAACTATTATCAATTCCTTTTAAATTTCTTAAATATTAAAAATGAAATGTATATATTTATTTAATATATATTTTATGTTCATAAGTATTTTCTTCATTATTCATATATTAATTTAATAACAATAACAATTTAATGAGCACCACTGCAATCAGCCCCTCTCACAACCGCCGCCACTGTGCAAAGATTTGCCAATCGTTGGCGCGCTCAAGCTCTCCGACGCAGCGCAGCAGCAGCAGCAGCACCACCACCACCACCAACAACAACAGTTGACTGGCGCAAGCAGCAGAATTTGAAATTAGGTCAACAGGTTTAGTTGGTAGTGGGCCTGAAGAGCGCTCGGCGACTGCGGCCTATTCGCACGATAGTAACTAGAGTGTATTGTTGTTGTTGCTATGTATCGTGCTGTTGTTGTTTATGGCTTTTTTGATTTGCTTGCTGAGCTTACCTATGCGGCGACCTCGGACTGTCGCTACTATCCGGGCATCCAGCTCAACACTCAGCGCATCCAACGCCAACGTTGACGGCGACGTCAACGCCGACGCAACATGCGTTTCGTTTATTGCACCACAGTTGCAGTTGCAGTTGCGGGTGTTTGTTTGCAGGCACAATTTCGAGCATTTTTGCAAAATGACACACACACGCACTCACAAAGCATGCTGTATATGTGTGAATTGAGCACACGGCATGGTTAGAAGAAGGAAGCAGTGTGGGACGCAGAGGAAGAGAAGGAAGAGATAGAAGAGAAGGCAACGGCGGCAAACGTGAGGCTAAGTTGCGCCCGTTTTCATTACATGCGATAGATCTTTTGCAAGCTCTGTGTGCGTGTGCGTGCCTGCGTGTATATGTATATGCAAGTGTGTGTATTTGGGGGAAATTGTGTGCGTCAGTTGGTGCAAAATATAGTTGGGAATGTGCATATATGTATATGTATGTGTATGTAAGTGTGCATATGAATGCTGAGTGCTGAAATGGAAAACCATATGCAGCTAATAAGAGCAAGCAACACATATAAAAATACGTGTGTATGTGTGTTTGTATATAAATATGTAAATGTGAATATGTTTTGTCCATGAGACGCGCAGCATGAATTGCCACACACTTCTTAGTTGGTTTCTATGTCACAATCAAACACACACGCACACATATACACAGATGAGAAAAGGCATAAGAGACGGACAAAAACGAATAGTCGTAATGAGTGAGCCGCAGCAGCAGCACCTGCAAGCAGCGCAGCAGCAGATAATCCCAGTAGAAATTGAAACTGGCTGCGGCAAGTTTAGAAACTGGTATAGAAATACACACACGCACACATGCATATGTATACAGCATATATAGAGGCAATCGACCTTGTAGGAGTATTTTGTCTTGGAGCGCGCGCACGCCCGTAACTGGGCCAACGCGATTGCACTGAAAATCAGGTGGGCGTGACGTAGGTAAATGTTGGCCAATGCACAGAGTGTTAATGTGTCCGCGTGTGTGTGTGGGAACATTTTGGAAAGCCAGAAGCAGGGGCTGTCATATACCCTTGGCTGCCACATAATCCACATAAAACAGATACACCCACAACCACACACACACAGTCAAAATTCCTTTGTAAATAGCCATACATATAAACACATATATCAAGAAGCATCTAAAATAGACACACGGATTTTCATAAGAACAACAACAATAGACAATAACGGGCCTTGTATTTGTTCTTGTTGCTAAATTTTACCTTCAGCGCAGCTGGAATATTTCGCAACAGTCTCCGAAAGGCGTTTGTATTTGGCAATTTTCGGATTTTGAAATACCACAAGGTGCATTCTAACAAGAAAATACACACGCACACACACACAGACAGCTGCGCGCTCTCAGCACTCACACTCACACAATCACAAGCACGCACACATGTACACAGACACTGCAATTCTTGGCTTGTTTCTCAATGGAAGTTAGTGGTGGGCAGTTTCTTAGGGGGCCGGGCTGCGCAAGGTGCAGCAGCAGCAATAACAACAACAATCGAACTAACCTCCACTCTTGCTGTGCCGAAATAAAAACGCGGCGACTGTTTTACTTTGTAGTGTTGTGCAGCTGTTTCTGGAGCGAACGCGAAAATCAAAAAATTCAACACACTGTTATTCGGAAACGTAACGAAACGAAAGGGCAAGCGCAGCGAGCAAAAAGTTAAAGCTTAAATAATAAACAACAATAATAATAAAATAACGGACGCACACGCGTTGCCCACATCTGTATGGGCCAAAAGACGAAACAGCACTGCCGACGCCGCGACGGCCGCTCTATTGTTGAGTCTGCTTCTGCTGTTTCTACTGCTGCTGGTGCTGGTGCTGGCGCTGTCGCTGGTGCTGCTTGTGCCTCTCAGTGTTGCAGTTTTCGAGTCAGTCCCGCTTCAACTGCGCGCGCTCAGTAAACAAGTCGAAACGATTTCGACGTTTCCTCAAGGCCTACAGATTTAGGCCAAAAAAAAAAATAATAATGTACAACACCAATAGTGGCAGCTTGTTGGTTGGTTGTTGTTGCTGTTGTTGGGCCAGATCATAGTAAGCTCAGCTCTCAGTTTGGGTTAGCAACGAGTTTCCATCAGCAATTGGCCGTCTTGCACAAAATGCAATCGTTCTAATTGCGCAACTTTACACGGCCAATTGCGATGCAATGATGCATAAATATTCGGTTTAAGCTTGCCGCCACCGTACGTTTCGGTACTATATTTATCGTTATCGAAGCTACTATACTTGGACAAGTAACCGGTGAGGACGGTTAAAGTTTCTAAGAGTAAATAATAAATAATAACAAATATTATGTATCAATATAATTTTAAGTAATAGTCTACATTATTTCCATTCATATAAATCATTCATCTTAACAAATATTCGTTACCGCTTCTAATCGAATCGCATTCGGTATATTAAAACAGCTGAGAATAAAACAAATAGAATTTGTAAATAAATTATAATATAAAAATTTTAAAAATTAATTGCCTTTGTATTTCATTCATCTTTATAAAAAAAAACTATTTTTAAAATTTGTACAATACCTATTTAATCGCAACCGTATATTTAAAAGATTGCATTCGATATTTACTAGCCGTTGCACAGCACTGTTTTAATATAAGTGCGTTCTCGCATTTGCAGGTACTGAGGTTTGCTCCGCATTGAAAATTTGTTTACACGTGAAAAAGTCGCGATTAATATACAAAACTAGTGCAAAACTGTAATTATAGTCTGGTTGCACCATTGTGCTGTGTTTTCTCATTAATAACTGACTAACTTATGGCATAAAAATCAAATTGAAAATTTACAATTAGCCCGCTGTCTGGAGCCGCAGTCAATATAATTACACTGCCCATTGGTTTACATAAGAGCGAAAGGGTCAGCTAGTGTACTATTTGCAGAAATGGCGTCGAAGTGGTGCACATGGCCAAGTCGTCGGACAATGGCTGGTGTGCAAATACCAATATTGAACGAATACGCCCCCAATATTTAACCTTACCGATATTATGAATGTGAATTTATTGTGACTCTTGTGCCTATGCATTATAAGTAGTGTGTGATCAATGTAGCTAAATGTACACCATTTTGTCCGGTTTTCTATTCTGCTTTGTGCACATCATTTGGTTTCATTGCCCTCGCTTGCAGTGTTGCAAAATGCCAGCGAGTTTCTAGTGTTGTGCATGCTCCGAAACCTAAACAGAGCATTACTTCATTTGTTTATTGATTGATTTTGATTAAAATATATTAAACTGAAGTGCAAGTGATGTGTGTCATCGTAATTTAAACGTATACAAGTTGCACGAATATTTTAAGGTAACTGAACTGCTTACCGCAGTACGGATTTTGCAGCTGGCAACACTGCGTTTTGAACTCCAGTGGCGGCAGTGCGAACGAGACGCCGATATTGCGGCTTAACGAAAACCGAACACAAAGCAAACTATGAAAACCGAAGCGAACAGGCCCAAGAGTTTATAAATCAATTTTTTGTGTATGCAAGAGCTGTGCAATTCATACCGCAAAAAAGGTATTAATTTTTCGGTTTAATGCAAGTGCACAACATCTTATACTATAATACATGAAGAGCAGTGTATAAAGTGTATTTAATTTAATTTCAACTGTTTGGGCTTCTTTGGTTGTTGCTCTATGAGATTAAATATATATTTATATTAAAAAAAAAAGAAGTGATTCCGTGAACTGCGTTGGCGGCGGCAGCGACGGCAGCTGCTGGCTTGGCGATTCGCGTATGACAAAGCTTTCTGATATGCGCAATGTGACGAAAATTGTTAATCATAAAGCAAATTTGTTAAGGCTCAATATATTATTCATAAATATATCAAAGAGAGAGCATTTGTAACAAAAAGAGAAAATTATCATGTAAACTGAAATATTCTATTTTTGTTTAACTGGAATATTGTTATGTGTGATAGCACAACAACCCCTCTTTGCGTCTCCCCTCGTCGTGCCTTGTGCCTCATTGTCAGACGTCGATCACGTTGCTCTGCCCGCACGGCAACCCGCTAGCTCAACCTTCCCTATATTACCTGTTTTGCGAATACACACGCCCGCCTCGATGGCGTTGCTATTATTGCTTTTGTTCGTTATTGCTTTATCCTTCCGTTCGTTCCGTGCATTTCGGTTTTGTTTTTCTGAAATTCTCAACGCTTAATGCTGCGTTCCACTTCGTGCGTGCGTGTTCCATCTTTGCGCGTCTGCTTTTATATGTATGCATATATATATGTATATATTTAAGAATGTGTGTGTGCGCGTGTGTGTTTGTTCACGTTCTTTCATTATTCCATTCTCTTTGATTATATGTACATTGAACTCAGCTGGGCTGGCTAGTAAGCTTTTGTTGTTGTTGACCTGATGCTTCGTCTGCTTTGCTACCTACCCATCTCTCACTTGTCTCTTTTACGCGTATGACACTTGTTAGTAACTTTTTTTGCTTACGGATTTGCTGATGCTGTTTTCTAGCTGTTTATCAACACTGAAACGTCACGTATCAATATGTAACGTTTTTTTACATGGTTTACAGTTGGCTTATTATATTTTATTGTCTTAATGCCGCACTGGTCTAACAAATGTGTATAGCAAAAACGGGTGATTCCACTATACTGGAATATTACAGTTAAATAGACCTTAAGTATTATAAGTAGGCATCGCTTTCATTACCAATTTGCCCTAGACTCCAGTTTTGTTCAAGTTGTTGTTTTTAAGAGAAATCTTGTGTGATATTTATCCAAATCAAAGTCTAATTTTACAATTTCCTGGCATTTTTGCACTTATTGCAGCTAATTTGTATATACAGTGTACATAGAGATGAGCACACAACAAACTCGTTCGGGGGGCGGCGGCGGCGGCGGCCGCACTCAAAAAAAATCAAATTCCGCTCACATTGGCGGCAGCAGTGGCGGCGGTGGCGGTGGCAACAATGATTTGGGTGCCATCACACAGGCCGCAACGGTGCATAAGAAAACCGATGCGAACAAGACAGAGAAACCAGAGAAGGCCCAACCGAAGGCCACTACGGAACAGTTGCGCATTGCCCAGATAACTAATAGCACCACAGAGGATCCGCTGATCAATGAAAAGGTCACCCTATTGCTAACAATGACCCAACGTTCCGAGGAGGAAGTCTGCTGCGCCTTGAATGAGTGCGATTACGATATAGAGGCAGCGGCCAATTTCTTGATTGAAATTCTACCACAGGTGTGTTCACACAAATTACTATTTAATTAATTTATACTAAAGCACAGAGAATAATTTACAGGGCGCCTTTGCCAAGTACGAGAAGAAACGCAAGAATAAGGCTGCAAATGCTGTAGCGGATGGCGCCGGCGGTGATGCCGATTGGGCAGATGGTAACGCAAATGCGGACAGGCGTGAAAAGTCACGTAATCGCAGCGCCAATCGCGGTGGACGCGGCGGCACCGACAGTCGCGGCTGTAAGCTATCCTACCTTATATTTGAATTTATTTATTTAAATACTATTCTTTTCTTAGGGCGCGGCAGAGAGGCCCGTGAGAATGACCGCAATATGCGCGAATCTCGTGGTGGTGATCGCGGCGAAGATCGCGCCAATGACAACTATCGTGGACAGCGTAACGGCGGACGTGGCGGTCCAGGCGGCGCCGGCTCGGGTGGTGGTGGTGGCCGAGATGGCGGTCGTGGAGGCGGCTTTATGTCACGTCCAGGCCGTGGTGGTGGTCGCATGGGCGGAGGTCGTAGCGGTGGACCGCGGGGGGATCGTGGCTATGGCATACGAAATAATGCCAATAACGAGGATCATCATGAGGTTGAACTGTGGGACAATACCATTGCGCAAAATGCAGAGAAACAGCAGCAGCAACAAGCGCACGACGATGCCTGGGGTGATTGGAACAATGAGGAGTACGAGGGTTCACTTAAGGACAGCAAAGTCTTTACAACGAGCAATCTCAACTCTCAGACAGCGGCAAGTGTGGTAAGCGGTGCGGCGCCAACAGGCATTGAACAGCTATCAGCACCGCCAGGCCTCGAGCACCATCAACTGACGTCGCAAGGATCTCATCTGAGTGCTCTGGTTAGCAGCAGCGAGGAAAACAACAGCAGTAGTTCAGCGCCATCGGCAGCAGCGGTGGGCTCATCAACGACAACGCCGATGATGCAGTATAGCGCAGCGGTTAGTAATCCGCCACCCCAGCTACAGTCTGTTGGGAGCAGTACACCCAGCAGCGTAGCTGGTTCCTCATCGTACGTCAGCAATGCGGCCGCTGCTGCTGTCGATACATTCTCGAGCGCTGTATCTGCTGCGGCCACATTGGTGCAGCAGGCACAGCAGCTGCAACAGCAACAACAGCAGCAGACGCCACTGAAGCCATCGGCTACACTTTCAGCGGAACAATCTCAGTATTTCAACTCGCTGACGTCGCAGGGCGCCAGTCCAACAGCAGCGGCAGCAGCAGCAGCTGCCCAGCCTTCAATGGCAGCCGTTTATGGTGGCCAGAGCAACAGTTCAACGGGTCAGTATGCGAACACATATGCAAATGTGTTTGCATCGGCGCCAGGCTCTAACATAGGAGGCACGCCCAACAGCAGCAGCGAACAGTCGCAGCAGCCGCAGGTGCGGCGAGCGCGCGTCAAGCTTCCGCCACCATCGAAGATACCAGCGAGCGCCGTGGAAATGCCTGGAGACAATGCGCTAAACAATATTGGCTACTTGGATGTGCAATTCGGTGCCATGGACTTTGGCACGGACGATAGCTTCGATGCACTGCCAGAGAAGTTTAATGCGGGTGTCAGCATTGATGGGCAGCAGCAGCAGCAGCAAGATGATTACCAGACCAAGTCACAGCAGCAGCAGCAGGCGCTGTCAGCTGGACTACAGAACGCGCAAATTGTGAGTAGCATCGAAACCAAATATGCATTTCCCCCATTCGAAGTATGTGATATATAAAACTAAAATCGTGCGTTCAGTTGCAGGGCGATGCTTTAAGTGCAGCTGGCTATGCGGCGCGCTCGGCGGGGCAGCAACAGAGCGGCAACGCCTTAGATCAGTTGACCAAAAACGATCCCTATGGACAGGCCGGCAGTGGCAACAACAATGGTGCTACATCGTATCAAAATGCGTATCAGAGTAGCGCGGCCAATAAGGCGAACAGTGCCTATCAAACGTCAGCAGGCGTTGTACAGGGCTATAATAGCTCGAGCTATGCAAATGTTCAGTCTAATAGCTATCAGCCCTCCAGCTATGGCAGCTTTCAAGCAAATGCAGTCAATTCCTATCAGCAACAGCAGCAAGCGGCCAGCGGTGCGCAAAATGCGACAGGCAGCAGCGGTGCAGCAGTACAAAACATTCCGATCAGCGGCAGTGGCAACCAAAATAGCTCCAGGTAAAGCTTTAAACACATTCCTTTTAGCTTTTCTTTTGCGTTCAATTCAAAAGTTATTGTGGTTGCGTTTTATTTATCTAACTCGAATCAGCCTTTAAAATGCAACTGTCTAACTTGATTTATCTATTGTTTTTACTGTTCTTGTTTTTTTCGTTATTTGTTAACTTAATTCTTTTCTTTTAACCTCCACCAACCGCCCTGCCCTCAAAAATCCACAATTTTTAACCGACACATTGCAAAAAAAAAAAAAAAAATATAAAATAACAGCGCGAATGCGAGCTCCGCCTATCTTACATCGGGTTATTCGACACCACAAAGTGCTTACCAGTCCAGCCAGAGTGTCTATGGCAATACTGGTCTCTCCAACAGCAGCGGGTATGTATATATATATATCTATAAATGGGCTTTAACCTCAACCGACCAAAATATCTCCAAACATTTCATTTGCCTGAAATTATATTATTATACGACAACAACAAGAACATTATCATTGCATGTTAAATTTTTTTGTTCAATTTGATTTGTTGGATATTGAGATTTCAAATTTAAAATTAGAAAAATAGAAAATATATATATTAAAAAAAATAACAGAAAATTAGAGTTCAGCAAAAAGATTATATGGAAATTGAGCTCAATAAACGGAGTATTCCAGCTAAAACTTATTTATAGAATAAAACAAAACTTCTTTCTATATTTTATATATAAATATTGTAATTTATATAGAAAATTTTTCAAAAGATCTTAAATTTTTGTTAGATAATGTAAAATGTGGGTTTGTTTTAGTAATCAGGATCAACTGTTCAAGTTAGAAAACAGCTAATGAAATCATTGATGAAATATAAAGTGCTATAAAGAATGTCTTCATAGAGTTATTATTGAGCTTTTGCAGTCTTATTGGCTTCGGCGTATACAAATAATTTCAATTATTCATAAAGTAAAACATTTAGCATTCAAATGTTATTTTCTGTCTATAGTCTTTACGGTCAATAAAAATGTTAATGAGAGCAACTGGGGCTATTTGACAGATATAAAAAATATCCAACAAATCAACATATTATTGCATATTTAACCCAATATATATATGTCAATTCCTTTCCGTTTACGTTTTGTTTTGTTCGATTATCCTTGGCATTCAAGGTTTGCTGGCAGCGCAAGTAACTCGTCCTCGCAGTATGGTAACTTTAGTACAAGCGCCAAGCTTAAGGATGCCACAGCAACCGGTGCTGCAGCGCACTATGACAGGTGAGAGAAATAGAGCTTAGAGTAAACCAAAGCTGAATGCATGAATGAACTGAAACTAAATTTAACTAGTTCAATTAAGAGATCTTAGACTGTGGATCATTAACTGATTGCTCGTTCTCTTTACATGATATTTTGCAACTGGACAGTGTTTCTACAAGCAGCGGCGTAAGCAGTAGCAGTGCCAGCACGGGCAACGGTGCAGCGGGCGTGGTGAGCGGTGCGACAGGTGCTAATCAGACAGTAGTATCAAATAGTGAGTACATTAAGAGTATAAAACAATTGAAATGTTGGCTTAATCTTTGATTTCTTTCTTCTATTAGCCAACAACAATGTGAGCGGCAGCAGTTCGGCGAGCAGCGTTACGACTGGCGTTAACAGCAATAGCAGCAATGTGGTGGCAGTTAGCAGCCAGGGCGGCAGCTCGATAGCGGGCGTAAGTGTAAGCGGCGGTGTTAGTGGTGTTAATGCCGGCGGCAGTGCGTCCAGCGTTGGCGTTGGCGTTGGCAACAATGCCGTTTCTGTTCAAGCCCAAGTTGCACAAACAACAGCGGGCACCGCAGCAGCGGTGCTGGCCACGCTGACCAACAAGAACAGCAGCAGCAGTAACAGCAGCGGCACCGGCGGTAATAGCGGTAGCGGTGTCACCGGCAGCGGCGGCGCCGTCGGTGTCGGCTCGACAACCGGCAGCAGCGTCGGCGCTGGCGGTGTCGGCAGCGGCAGCAGCTCAACTGGTGCTGGTGGTGGTAGTGGTGGTGGCAGCAGCGGCGGCGGCGGTGGCAACAGCGGCTTGGTGCCCACCAACATCCAAATGGTTAGTCAATATATTCAGACTGGGGTGCCATACTATCAGCAACCAGTTTATTCCTACGAGGAATTACAAATGATGCAACAGAGAGTGCCACATGTGGTGAGTTCATGGAGAAAAGCAAAATGCAAAAAAATATAATACAAATAATCAAAAAATTACGAAAAACAAAAACAAAAAAAAAATAGAAAATCAACAACAATTCAATGCAATCAAAAATCAGCTTGAAAATCAAATTTGTATAAAGAACAAACATTTCAAAATTCCATTTACTCTCATTATTAATACATATGTAATGTATATATATGATATACACATAAACTTAATCATATCAGATAAGGCATAATTCATGCAGAACTTTGCAACTGTAATTGAAATTACATTTTAACAATTTTCCGTGTGTCTGTCTCAATATTTGTGAATGTGTGCGTGTGTCTATATATACATATTTCCACTGCGTGCGTGTGTTTTGTCTTTCCTCTCTCTATATATGTAAATATTTTGTATATTGAAGAGGAATTCTTGCACTCTATTGTTATTGTAAATCAGGTACCAAACAAACAAAAAAAAAACAACACAAATATTCCAAAAAATTCCGCTTCCAATCCAATTCCTTTTATTTAATTATCAAATTTTTTGCAAGGTAAAAAAGTAAATCAAAAAAAAAAAATTCAAAATTGGCATTTAAAATTCTTACGCTCATTAACATAAAAAGAAATATTTGAATTTCAGGCACGCCTCAATTTCATTTTTTGGCTGCCTTGAGATTCAACTGTTTCCACCGCATCCTCTCTCTCTCCACTCCACGCTCATTCAACAAATATCATCATTATTCTCTAACCAATTTCGTTTCGTCTTCATTTATAATTTAATGGCACATCTAACACACTTGTAAATTTTATTTTCATTATTTTTTTTCTTTGCATCGTTCTCATTTTTTTTGTACGCAGTTTTGTGTCAGCTGCTTGTTTTTTTTTTTTTTTGCCCTGGCAACGCGCTCTGCCTAAACCATTATCGCAGCTTAACTCACATCATTAATCACATTTGCTGTCCGTTTGGGGACGAAGGTCAGCGTCTTATCACTAATTGCGATTCTTCTACTTTTTTGTAAACTTACAGCAAGGATATTACGATCTTAACTACACGCCCACCAGCCTGGGCGCCGGTCGCGACAATCTTGGCTCTGTGGCCTACTCAACAATGACTGATGGACGCTTCGCTCGCACCGACAATAACTCCAGTCCTGTTAGTAATGTGAGTATAAAAGAGATCAGCTAGGCTATATGTTAATAGAGACAGAAATCCACAATTGCTTGATAAATTGGCAATTGGAAATGGCTTGATAAAATTGAAATTCTAGAAATTGTTTCATAATCAGTCATGCTGAAGTATATGGGAAGGGAATACTTGAGGCCCTTAATTGGTATGTAAAGATAGAAAATAAACGTAGAATGATCTGAATTTCAGCTCCGCATAGTGTTCAGGGTATTTCCAAGTTGAGCACTTCCCACTGCAGCATTCTTATTTGTTCATTATTTAACCAAGCCTATAACTTTATATATGGTTAAAAGCAAATGTCATAGGCCACACTGCATATATTTAAATGTATATAAAGGATTAGGATTAAATCTAGCGATCTCTGCTCATGAACATGTTTTAGTGCAACATTTTCAGTAGAGCGGGCGCATTATAATTAATTGATTTTCAAACATTAAGGATGTAAATATTAAATATTTACTATAAATAATCACTATCATTGACTTACCTTGATTCATTAAAATATACAAATTGATTCATATTTTCATCGCAGGTGTCTAGCACAATGTCGCAACAAGCTGGCTCCAGTGCACCAATGCTGAATGTTCCTTATGCTTATTTCTATGGTGGCAATGTAATGCCCGGCGGTTTCCAATATGGCACGCCAGCCATCTACCCAGTAAGACCTAACTAAATTTCATCTCATATATGAATTATAAACAAATTTTCTTTCCCATTTATTATTAGCAACAAATACCGGCTGCCAATACAGCATCCGGTGGCCAGTTCCCAAAGCCTTCGTATAGCGCTGGCTATGGCTCGACCAGTTATGATGCTTTGTCGCAGACGACTCAGGACTACAGCAAAGGCGGCTACTCGTCCAGTGTGAATCAGCAGAGCAAAACACAAACGGTTTCCAATCAACCGCAGGCAGGCACCGGTTCCGATCTGACCTCATCTATGTATGGCAAGGGTCATGTAGCGCTAAACAAGGTCAATGTGCGTATCAATCAGAACGAAAACCAAAAATATATCTAAATCTATATATATATATTTAATTATCTGTGTAATTTTATTTCACTGCAGTCGTATGAGAAGCAGAGTTTCCATTCGGGCACACCGCCTCCATTCAATATGGCCAACACACAAACGGCGGGCGGTACTTCAGCTCAGCCTTATGGCATGTATCTGCCGATGCCAGCGGCTGGACATCACAATATGATCCATCCGCCAATCCATCAGGTAGAGTACAATACTGAACAGCAGTTTCTTATAAATCAAGAAAATCCAAACAATATACAAGTCGCGTTCGAGAATGAGCAATTGTGGCATCAGAATACTCACCATAATAATGATGATCATAATCAGCATAACAATCATAACTATGCAATATCGGGACACGATCAGCAAGATAATAACAACTATATACAAGACGATCTCAGTGGCATATCGTTCTTTGCTGAGTGATCATATATATTTCCATTAAAAAAAAAGAACGAGAACGAAAGAGCAACATTTTACCAAAATTAACAATCAAATACACATACAACGATTTACATTGTTTCAATAATATCTATATATATATATGTATATGTATATATATGTGTATGTATATATATATATATATTTAAATATTATTTAACAACTATCGCACACATCTAAAGAACAAGAAATCGTATCATGCATGTCCATTCACACATAACACTCGAACCTAATCAAAATTTTCAATTAGTTTTACATCGTTAAATGTTTCGTTTTTTAGTTTTTATGCACACATATATATTTAGTATACGTAGAAATTGTTTCATTTTTTGTGTTGTTGTTGCTGTTGTTAAAAAAGATAAGAAAAAGAATATCCATCTCATATTGACAAATATTTAAAAAAAAAAAAAAATCACTTTGCACATTACGCACTAATTCTAATTCTATATTTTTCCTTAGATTAAATTTGATTTGGTTTACTTTGTTCTATTTTTAATTTTTAACTTTCCAAGAAAAGGCTGCAAAATCACTTAAATAGATCAAGTTTTCCAGTCGTTCATTAAGCGAAATAGTTGTAAGGAGTCACTTATGTAGATAGATCACTGGCTAAAGCGCCAAATACTATAATTTCTGAAGAGCTATGGTAGGATTCAATCACGGCTCGATTTTTGATAGCTTTTGCGCAACTTCAATTAGCGCTTCAAACCCACGAAGATAAGTATAAAGTGAAGTAACATTTCAAAAGCTGCGATATGAATTTACTTTTGAACTTTGTAAGGAGTTGTACCATGATTCAATTCGCAAAGTATATTACCATATGTAGTAAGAGTAACGAATTTTTTATATTATATATCAACATATTAACTTTTTATATTTCCATTTCTCACAGTGCTATAAAGAACTGAGTTATGAATTCAGTTTCTAGGCTATAGAGTATTCTATAAGGAGACTTAGGTAACTCGTTCAGTTATCGATTGTGTTGTAAATCCGAAAAACTTAAGGAACTAGTTCCACTACTATACTTTAAGCCAGTTCCATTTCTAGTCTAGGCAACAAGGAATTAGTTTGCATGTCAAACTGCTGAATCTTTTAAAGAATTGTTTTATAATTGTATTATATTTTTTTAAAAATGCTATACAATTTGAATTGATTAGACAAATTTCAAATCAGTGTTTTGTAGCCTCTTGTCTCCTTAAATCTATAAAAACTTCTTGTAATCCCTATACATTCGTAGCATTTGGTTGAAACATAGCTAACAAAACAAACACATTTCATGCATATATTTCGATCGTTACAAGCTCACATTTCCACATTTCAACATTTGCACATTTCTTGCCTGTGGGGAATATTAGCGCGTATCTCTCGCACACACACACACGCACAAACACAAACACACACGCACACAAACACACTCACATTCACACATACAGACAACTTCAGTTTTGAACTAGTTCCCGGTTAATTGGGGAAGCAAATTTCAACTAAAAGAAATCTACATAAAATAAAATGAAAAATTTTGTGAAATGCATGAAAACTGTTCGATTGTTTGACTTTGTTTTTCTTTATAATTTCTTTTGATTTTTTTATGGGACAACATTAGATGGACGGCAGGATTCATAGCTCATCCCGCCGGGTAAGTTTTCCTTTGTTGTTGTATCAAGTGAACTAAACAAACATATAAATTTCGTTTTCTCTGTTACTTTTGGTAAATATGCAATTTCTTGCTAAATGTATGTAAATAAATAATAAAAACAAAACAAAAACAACAACTAACAACAATTCACGCACGCACGCACACACGCACATAATAATGTAGTCTTAACTCTATCTAAAACTAATAACTGTAGTTAATCAAATCAAAAAAAAAAAAGTAATATTTATTAATTAGTTTGGCTTTCGATATTATTTTATTATTTTATGACCAATTTGTTGCTGATAAGAGAAAAGGAAAACAAGGGCTAAACGTAATAATTATTCATGCATACCACACACACACACACACACAGCAGTGTTTCATACAAATGTATACACACACATATATAACTATATATGTACGCGCGCTCTCTATAATATATATATATATATATATATATATATATATATATATATATATATATATATATATATATATATATTTATATTATTATATATATATGCTGCTAACCCTATCTCTATATACCTATACACATTTAATTAATATATATTTTTATGCCCTTTGCAGGACTCGAACAGCGCTGGCCAGCGCCAACAGTCGAGCAGCCAGTCCAAGTCGACTGGCAAACCAAGCTACCCCAATTCGTATTGGACCGGACAGAACTAGCTTACGGAGAGGACGATTTGGCGGCCATTGCAGCTGACGACGCTGCAATCAAATGCTGGCCTGCGCACTAATATAACTACAACAACAAACACAACAACAACACCAGCAACCGTAGCAGCAACAACAAACACAACAACAAAAACAACAGCATCCATTCACATTTATAATAATATCAGTCAAAGAACGTTGCCTACAACAACGGCAACAAATCAGTTACTAATGCTTGTTAAGGAGAAACACCAACAACAACAGCAACAGCAAAACGAAACGTTGAGCGAGGAACAACATTCGTCAGATAATGTTAAGGATTATCTAGTATATGCGGAGGAGAAATCATATTTTACTTAATAAGAAATGTTTTTACTGCTCGCCCACGCCCCGTGCCCCACGCCCTCCAACTCTCCTGCTCCAATAGAACGTAACGAACAGTGCAAAGACTTATGCAACTTTATAAAGTATACAAAGCCGCACATACCATATAAATACACACGCCTACACACACACACACACATACGCGCATACACAACAACCAAATACACACCCACACCCACACACACACATACATAGACTCCCCTCGACATCTACATTTAAAAAAGAAAAACAAAAAACTATACCAAGTACCATTTTTCACATTGCATACAAAAATAATTTACAAAGATAAAAGATAACAATTATTAAATATTAAAGGCGTAAAACGATTTAACAGATTTATAAGCGTAAGATGAAAGAAATACAAAAACAAAACAACAAAAACAAACGTAAAGTGAATGAAAGAAAACAAAAAACACACAACAAACAAAAAATTAATTATTGTAATCGGTTTAAACTTATGTGTATTGTATAATTATAACCTTAATATTTAAATTAAATACAAGAAAAGAAGATAAAAGATACGATTAAATCCAAACAAATGCAAAAAAGAAACAAAACTAAAAATGATTTGTCTAATTATTATATATGTTGTATATAAATATATAAAGGACTTTCCAGCTAAGGATCGAGTTTTGTCGAATAGAATTACTATAAGAAATTCTGGTCGAATTCCCTATGAGCAAAAAGGGCATCAAAAGTTTACTCTCATATAAACAAAGTCTTATCAACAGCATACCCTCATATGGAATCGATTGCTGTAATCGCTACAATGAAATAGTTTTATTGTTCTTAGAATTCTATTGTTACCTGACCTGAGCATAATATAAACAAAAAACAATGAAACTATTCGACTGTTAAGGGTATACAAAAACGTTAAAGCAAAGACCTTTTAACTTAAGATACCTCATAGTAACAATAGAGCTATATTTGCAGAGTATACGAAATTCGTTAAGTCGAAGATATTTGCACTTTTCATTAATTTATGATCTTTATTGCGAGAGTTACATAGATACTAATTGAATGTAGATTATAGGCGTAAATACAAATGATATATAGCAATTACTAACAACTATTGGCTGTGGAGCAGCTTATTGAAATCAGCATAGGCCGACTCCAAATCAAAGAGGAATTGTCGCACCTGAGCTTCGGTCAATTCATCGGATGCCTGCATTTCGTTTAAGGTGCCCAGCCACTTGTCCACCTTTTGCTTGGCATCGAAATCTTCGGGTATGAGCGACAAGCGATTCATATTATCATCCAAATCCTTAACATCTGGCTGCAGAGCATCCATTGTATTTATCTGTAATCGAAGCTTGTCCATGATGGTAATAAAGAGCGACACAATTTCCGCAATGCATTTGGAGGTATTGCCCTTATCGTCACGTATCGTAATGGGACGATCCTCCCGTATGCGCTCCAATGCAGCAGGACAGTCAAGGCGAAACTTCTTCACAAATGTGTCCACGGTGGGGAACTCATCGCATTGCACTTGCTTGAACGCAATTTTGTATTGTACCAGGTGCTTGGAGCATGCTGCTGTATATTCCTGTGGAGTAATGCAGTCCCGAATGTACGCCTTTTCCAGCTGTTGGATTGTGTTTATTATCGCATACAAATCTGCCATGTTGTCGTACTTCTCGCGTTCACGTGCATTCCGAAAAAGTTTTACCTCCTCGTATAGTTCTGCACTCTGTTCCTGCATTTTACTACTTTTTGTTTTTCTTTATTCAATTGCAAAAATAATACGAAGATGACGAAGAACGATAGAACGATAGGAATTGTATTGCTGCCAGTAGTGATGGAAGCGAATTATCGATTAATTTATTGTGATTTAGTTCATTCATCGCAAGATAAATGAAACATCGGTATTTGAAATGGAAATACGATTTTGCAATTTTGGATTCAGGCACATTATATACACATTATTACATGTTTGCATATATTGTAAATAGTTTCACCTTCTTATATTATTACGACAGGTAACTATTTATTTTCCTCCTCAGTATTAAAATCAGCGAAGCAGGTTTTATTGTTGCCAATGGCGATGGCAGTGTGCCATCGACTTATTTACAATAATCGCAAAAATAAAACAAAACATTTAAGGCGCCAAAATCAAAAGTAATTTGAAATGCTAACAAGTATTTTACATCTAGCAGTTGAGTACGCACAAATCAATGTTTTTGTCAATGAATCGTGTGTTAAAGTAGCACTGCAAATAATAATAGTGATAGGATTTGTGACACGCCAATTTTCCCAATATTCCGTGGAATACTTTCAATTGGCTATAAAGATAAATATAGCAGATAAGCGCCCTGTTGATTATTGACTTAAGCAGGCAAATTATTTGAATAACAATGCAAGTTGCTTGTTATCAGCCATATAAACTCTTCGATAGAGCGTGCAGCTCTAATATTATTACATAAATTCCAGTTAGTTTTCAACCATCAATCTAAGAATACGTGCTTACAAGTCAATTTCTCATTGTTTTGTGTTTTATAAATAACAAAGCCATGGGCAGCGAAAATAATGAAGAAACTGTAAGTTCATACAAAATACGAACATTTCTGAAAAGATCAGTTTTATAATTATATATGTTACATTATATGCTATGCCTATTTGCAAACTAAATCAAGCGACATATTTTGATTTTGCCAATTACGTTATATCAAAATATATATATATACCTGTATGAAACATGCTTAAATGTCATATGCAAAATGCGCACTATATATAAGTACATACAAATACTCGACTTAATATAAATCAAAATAATAACTTAAAAGGGCACAGCCTGCTCGAGCAACTTGTAACCCTGACCGGAATAACTATAGCTACGTGGCGGATACAGTACAAACAGACCCAATTGCAGCAAGGACAGTAGACAGCCGAGAAAGTTAGGTATCTGCAAAAAAACAAAAGGTAGACAGACAATATGTAATATAATATTAAAATTGCAATTAGGGCTGGGAATATTGGCACCTGTATAAATGAGTCCGATATTAGAATGCCGTAGATTAGCCACTGCAGACTGACAAAGAACGATGTGGCAATTAGGGGCAAGGGCAAACTTTCCGAGTTCTTCACTCGTATCACATGCACCAGCGACGTCAGCGGTGCAGCAAAAAAGCAAACGGTAACAATGCAACAAACAATGCCTGCAATTAAGTTAGAAAAAGAAGAGTCAATAATGTAAGTAATTATAATTCACACAGACGATATGTATTCAATTTAATTTTTTTTATCCATTTTTAATTTTTCTACTCATTTGTAAAATAAATTTAATGCATTTTTTAAATAAGATTTTTTAATTTAAATTATTTTCAATTTTTTTTTTTAAATTTTTATATATATATATATATTTTTTATATTTTTATATATGTATATATATGTTTGTTTTCAGCATTATTATAAATACTTTATAAAAAAATATACATAGAAATTCAATTTAAATAATTAATTTATATAAAATATATATTTAAAAAGAATTTCTAGATTTCTTTCTCATCATTTTTATATGATATATTATATTATATATGCGAACAGGCGGGCACGCTCACCTGTTAAATGTATCATCTTTTGTGGATCGTCTTGTAAACTATTTGTATAGACAATAACAGCGATGAGTATGGCTAAGACAATTGCGAATTGCTTAACATAGGCACGTTTGTTGACCGTAAACACGTAGTAGACGAGTGTGTAGATGAGAAAGAGCGTGGATCCTATCATATTGACCATAACGATGCTCTGCTCGTTGGTTAGCACGCCGTAGCGCAGCCAAAAACTGCAGCTGTATAAACATGTAAAATTAAGTACACATTGCTTCCAAAATATCTTTTTATCTATCCATATATCTTTTCTTGTCGACGTCGACAATTTGTACTTACGATAAGAAGCCACATATGAATGGCACACCCGACGATTCGCCCGTGCTCTTCTTTTGTATATATTTGCGGCATATTACGCTGATAAGACAGTCCATACATTAGTATTAACATAGAGTATTAAAAAATTTGAATAGATATAAATATATATATGTATATACATATATATATATATATATGTTTAAAACTTACGTGCCGGATAGAAACTGAAAAACGGTGCTGATCACCGCCGTGGTGGCTAATACCGAATCATAGGCCAGCGTCATAGTTACCAATTAATATCTAAGAATAAAGCATATATTAATTAATTATTTATAAGAAACAATAAATATATATTTACTGGCCAACACGAACACCGCACAACAACGTCAACAAAAAAAACCAAAACAGCTGACAATTAGAGTTGCCACGCTATTTGATAAAGTCAATTAAAATTGTTATCGACATAATCGACTTTTTTCGTTCAAAATACTCACAAGTTTTAAAAGCTTTAGATAGCTTTGAGGCTTACAAATTGTTGTTGAGTGTTCCCAAAGCTTTTGTTTTAAGCTGCCACATGCTACCAAAAAATTTTCGACAATGCCAGTCGCAAACAGGTGGCGAATGGCGCCGCTTGTTCTTCCATTTTGTTTACGGCTATTTACCATTATTTTTAAACAAATTACGCCTCTGTATATCGTACTATAATACACTTGGTTGTTTGTGTTTCTTATTATACAACACTAACCTACAAATGCAGACACCGGCAGCAAAGTGGCAGACAATTCCCGTTCATTGTTAAAACGAACGCGTTTGCGGCCGGTGGCGTTGCCTTATATAGTTTAATTAAATTGTTAACAAGTTCAAAGTGATATTAAAAAAAGTGCATGTGCTGTCTATAAATATGCCAGTCTCTAATAATACTGAGGGTGAACATTTGAACCCGCCATTTAAGGTTGAAATAACGCCACAGCAAGCGGAAATTAATAAGGTAAGCATCAGTTGTTAATAGGCGTTGCGTTTGTCTGCATTGTTGTGTCTGTCTGCACTTTGCTTTCTCGATATTTTGTTTTGTTCTCGATTGTTTACAACTGTAAATCGTTGAACTACACAACTTCTTTCAACTGCACTACTTTAACCTTCCGTAAAACTTCTCTCTCTCTCTCTCTGTTTTTACTCTATTCTTTCTTTTGGATTTTGTAATTAAAACTTCAACAAATTTTTGCGTCGCAACATTTGTTGATGCTTTATAGGAGAACAACACCAATGCATACATCAGCTTCAACAAATGCCGTTTTATATTCTCCTTATAGACTAAATATATGCGCATATTAATATCCAAATGTACTTTGATATTTACATAAATTACAAATTTCACATTACGCATAGCTTTACAGCTGAACCCAAAGCAGGAACTACGATCGCATGCACAGACTTGCATACGTACACACAAAGAGCTGTATATACAACAGTAAATATATATACATAGTACCGTGTGAAAGTATGCGTTCACATAAAATGAATATTTTTGGTTGTTTACTCCATTTATGTTTCATTATACAGATAACAACTTCTATATTATAAATAATAAAAAATAAATAGGTTTTCGTTGATGCACTTAACATGCTATTTATATAATTACATGTAGTTAGTAATTAAAATTAGTTCAAATACTTTGTAGCCATATTGCATGTGTTCCGTTATACACTGCTTTGCGCATTTATCTTCTCTCCCAAAACCAAAACAAATGACAAAGTACACACATATTTAAAGCTCTCTGCGCATATTTATAAATATATATATATATGTATGCATATGACAATTTCAATGTGTTTGTGTGTGTGCTTTATTTCGGTATTGTGTACGCTGTTACATACATCTATGAATATTTTAGTGCATTATCAGTTCCCCACGATTTAAATTAATTTTTTGTTCACGTGAAAAAAAAAGTTCAGACATTGATCTAATTAAATTCAATTAGAAATTGATAATGGAGAGCGTTTGCCAAAAATAAATCATTGACCGAGCCGGGTCAGTAAATTAGTGACTCGGGATGCAAATAAAAATTATTAAAAAAAAAATAAATAAATCAACGTCGCTTTATGGTGATGCTGATAAGGGGTAATAAAAACTAGCTAGTGACGCAAAGCCATTTACAAATAATAGGTTTAAATAATGTTCAAAAATATTTTCAAAGATTTTATATTTATATTATATTAGAATTTTTTAAATTTTCCTATTAATTAATTATAAAATTTTGTAATTATTTATATTTTTAATTTTGATTTCAGATCATTTTTTTAAACTTTTTCATTTAATTTAATTTTATTTATTGATTTTCTTAAAATTTTATTCATAAATTATATTTATTTTTATCTATCCTTTATTTTTTTAATTAGAATACAAATATTTTTTAAGATTTGTTTTTACGTTTTTAAAGTCACTATTTAAATATTATTTTACTTTCTTTTATTATTAAATTTATACTATTCTTATACCCTGAACCCATTTAAAATGGAAAAGGACATAACGGTTATATTAAAATCTATGTAATAGGCAGAAGGATGCGTAGCAGATCCCAAAAGGCAGACCAGCCAAGTCGATTAAGTCAAGCCACATATGAGTGCATTCTTGTGTATTCGAATAATTTGAGCTGCTACTTTGTTTTAGGTTTTTATCACTCAAGCAGTGAACTGGCGATGGTAGATGCCGACGAGATATGAGTACAACTCATTTTTTAAAACCTGAATCCATTAAAAATGTAGATTCAGAGTGTAAAATGGTTTTTTGAAAAAAAAAAATGTGAGTAACGGGCGGAAGAGAGGCGTGGCAAACCTTATAAAAAGTACATATATTTATTCTCATATTGTCATATAGAGATCTTGTTTTTTGGTTTCCCTCAAACTCACAAAAAACTTATTTTAAATACTAGAGGTTTGTGCTTTGGCAAATACAAGCATCTGGATGTCGTCATTAGCGGCTGAGAACTTCATTTAGAAATTCCACTTAGCAGAGAAAGTTATTCAGCAATTACCGCATACTTCACATGCGGCCCAAGCGCAGCCGCTGAGTCAACTGCGCAGTAAGCAGAGCGCGTGCTTAGCGTGCGAGTGAGTATGTGTGTGTGTGCGTGCATTGTTTGCAATGCATGTATGCATGTATATAAGAATCGTAGAATGTGTGGAACATCACCGCTTCGCAGGGTTCATGGTATCTCCTAGTCGAGCCGTTTCGACTAGAACACTCTTAGTTGTTTTATTATTACTTTATTGTTTGAGCTTAATTATAAATTATATAAATATGATTTATAAATGTTTCTCTGAAATTTTCAAGTACTTAATATTATCTATTTATTATCTAATATATATTTCTTTGACATTTTAATTTGAATATATATCATTATTTGTGTTTTCCTTTATCTATATATCTTCACGTATCTTAGTCTCTGCCTCTACCTAATACTATATCTATATCTATCTTTATTTCCATATCTATATCTATGTCTCTAACTATATCAATATCTCATATTTATTTCTATCTATATTAAATATCTTAAATATTCCTCTTTAGAAACAAACATGGAGCAAACTCCTATTGTTGGTTGCCTTTGCAACGACTCTAGGCGCAGCTGTGCCCACAGGCTATTGCATAGGTGTTATCAATTCACCTGCAAACGTAAGTATTTTCATCCAAGTATACCTGTCATTTTGCTAATTAGATTTGTCTTCATATCATAGCTTATGAAAGCGTGGTGCAATGAAACAGTGATTGAAAAATATGGCAGTTCGATGAGTGAAGGTGGCTTGGACATACTCTGGTCGTCCGTTGTTTCCGTCTTTCTGGTTGGTGGAGCCATCGGATCGCTGAGTGGAGCTGGGTTGGCCAATAAATTTGGCAGGTTTGTATTTGTGTTCGAAAGCCACTTATGAATGCCATTTTAAGTGCTGCTTATCGGCTTTATTTAGATTAGTTTAACTGCTGAGCTTAATTTTGATAAGAAATGTTTCATAGAGCAATATAGTTGATTAAATTGATAATAGCAATTTCTAGTCATATGTTAGGGCAGATTAAAATTGTTAGAAATTATTTGAGCTAAACAGTAAATTTTTTACAAAAACAATATTAGAACTATTTTTCAATCATTTCGTAATGTTTACAAATTTTTTAACAAATTTTTTAAGCTTTTTTATAGAATTATTTTAAAATTAAAATTTACTCTGATTCAATTTAAAATTATTTTACGTAATTTAAAATTAATTTAATTCAATTTTCATTTAATATATTACATTTATTTTAATTAATTTTAAATATATTTTTATACTTTTTTAATGTATTCTATTTTAAATAATAATTATTTTACTTAAATAATATTAACTTAAAATATTAAAGTAATTTTTAAATATATTTTTATTTATTTTTAAAATTAGTCAATTAATTAATTCGGAATTTTTACTTAAATAAGAAATATAAAATTAATAAGGAAAACTCGAACTCAACTTACTTTTCTCTCTCTCTCTCTCTCCTTCTATCAGAAAAGTCTGCCTGTTCATTTGTGCCTCTCTCTTTGCCATTGGCGCCGTGCTCTTCTTCTTCTGTCGCGCCGCCAAGTCCGTGGAGATGCTGCTGCTGGGTCGAATAATTGTGGGTCTGGCCTCTGGCCTAGTCACGGCCACACAGCCAATGTACCTGTCAGAGCTGGCACCGCCCGCTCAGCGCGGCACCTTGGGCGTCTTCTGTGGTGTCGGCGTCACCGGCGGCGTGGTCGTCGGTCAGGTGTTCAGTTTGGCTAACATTTTTGGCACAGCCGAACGCTGGCATTACGCTCTGTCCGCTTACCTATTGCTCGTCATTGTCTGTTACCTGCCCTCGTTTCTGTTTCCCGAAAGTCCCAAGTTTCTCTATGTCATCAAGAGCAATCCGGAGGCAGCCAAGCGTGAGCTGTTGCGTCTGCGTGGGCCAAATGCCAACAAGCTGATCGAAGAAGAGATTGTAGAGATGCAAGCGGAGGCCAATGATGACATGCAAAGCAGCAGCTTTGGCGACGTCCTGCGAGACTCGCGCTTCCTACTGCCACTCATCATTGTCTGCTGCTTCCAGGGCGGCCAGCAGCTGTCGGGCATTAATGCAGTACGTTTTTCACTATTAAGATACTAACGTGGTTAATTTACTCAATTTTTTTCTCATTTGGCAGATCTTCTATTATTCCGTTTCCATATTCACTAAGGCTGGCTTCTCCGAAAAGAATGCACAGTGGGCAAATCTATTCGCTGGCTGCTTAAATTTATGCATCTCACTGCTCGGCCCATTGCTAATGGCCACCTGCAAACGTCGCACCTTAATGATGCTCTCCAGCTCCCTTTGCTCCATTTTTCTATTTGGCATTGCATTTATCTTCAACTATATTGTAAGTCCATATATTATTAGTTGTTTATGGCTAGGTTTTTTGTTAACTTTCGTTTGTTTGCCTCAGGAATCTGTCAGCTGGTTTCCTTGGGCCTGCATTGTCTGCATTATGTGCTATATATTCTTTTATCAATTTGGCCTCGGTCCCATACCCTATTTCATTGGCTCAGGTAAGTATCAGTTGCAGTTATGCAAATGTGTTTCATGTTTACTTAAGCAATTCTGTTCTTTATTTTTTTTTAGAACTGTTTGAAGTGGCGCCACGCCCCGTGGCCATGTCCATGGGCAGCCTCTCGTCATGGGCTTGCAATTTCATAATTGGCATGGCCTTTCCCAGTTTGCAAAGTGCTTGGGGCGCCTTTGTTTTTCTGCCCTTCTCGATTACCTGTGTGCTGCTTTTCTTGCTAACGAAATTCTATCTGCCGGAAACACTAGGACGCGATCCATCGGAAGTGGCGCCGCTGGTCTCCAAAGGATTCCGATCCAAAATCAAATGAGGCGCAACTGGAAAATAGCTTAATTTACAATGGGTAGCTTTAAGTTAAATGTTTATTAATCTACATATATGTTATATATGTGGAGACTCCGTGCCTATGCTCGACAATAAGTGTTCGATTGGTTAACAATCATGTATGTGCAACCAACTAGTAGAACACCCTGTACAATTGGTATCCATTACCAACATGTGTAAGAGGTACGCTTCTTATCGCTCGCTGCACAAATAACAAAAGTTAATTGCCTTGAGAAACCGACTGTGTTGTTGTTGGTTTTGTTACTTTAGCTAATTGAATTTACGGCTCGCCAACTGTTAGTTCCATAAATTAGTGGAAGGGTTTACGCAAAAAAAACTTGCCTATCTTATAGATAGATACTCTCTGATTAAGACTCTTTTGTATATAATATGTTGGAATGTTTGTTAACATAATTGTAATACAAATAAAGACACTTCAAATGCATTAAACAAGTTTCCCACTGCCAGCGCGTCAACTATGATAAGAGAATGCCTTAAAACATATAATGATAGCCGGCAACTTGTACTTTATTAGAGTCTTATCGCCAAGCAGATACCCTGCATTGTCTATATAAATATATATATAGCATTATAATACAATCGGTTGATAGCTATCTATAATATGCCAAGACTTAAATTTAAAGCCTCTAGCTCGTACAATCTGAAATCTATACTTAAATATGATATATATTTTTGCGGATGTTTAAACGATTTATATATATAAATATATAATGTAACAGTTAATAGCAAAATGTTTTTAATGGGTAACTCTAGGTTTGTCTTGATCAGATTAGTCTATATCAAATGCATAAAAATTCTATATTTCTTATTCAATTTTAGAATATAATTTATTTCAATTTTTATATTTATATTTCAGTTTTAAATATAACTTTTTAATTTTATTATTTTAAATTTTATTATTTTAATTTTTATTATTTTAATTTTTAATATTTACTTTTTCACTGATTTTTTATTTTTTATTAAAAAAACAAAAAACAAACTATGTCTGTGTTTTCTACTTATTTTCGTGTATAACAGCCAAAATATTTTTAAAATATTTTTGGATACTTCCTTAAATTTGGAATTTCATCTTTCATTTTTCATCTATGAATTTTTAAAATTCAACTAAATTAATTTTTTATAAATTTTATAAAATTATACAAAATTATTTTAAGAATTTTTGTATTTTCTGCATTTTGCGTTCAAATTTTAAATATTTTAATTAATGCCTTAATTCGTTATTTAAAATTTTTCACTTGTTTTTAACTTATGCAAAAAATTAACTAAGGCAAACTAAACAGGCCAAACAACGAGTAAAGCAAGAACAAGGAACATACCCTCTATACCATACAGATGAAAACATGACACCCTCTGATTTAGTCATGTCTAAAAAGGGGGAACAAGCTATGCGTTAGAAACAACAGAGATAGAGGCCGCGACAGAGACTCAATGACGCGTTGTCAGCTCGCAGACAATTGAAGATTGGGCTTTAAGGTGTGTAGAGTGACTCAGTTCGTTAGCAGCATCGTTAGATAGAGCAACGGAATATGGTTGTCATAATGGTATTTAAAGATTATATCCATATAGTCACCCACACATTTAGGCTAGGCTGCGCTCAGTTTGTGTCTTAAATCATTTGATTTGCATAGATGTAAATCTGTTTTTTTTTTTTGCTTTTGCAGCACGTGAACGATGCAGGAGAAGGCTGGACCTGGCTGATGCTGCTCATTTGCTTAACCACCACGTTGGGCTGCACCGTGCCGGTTGGCTACTTCTTTGGTGTGCTCAATGCACCAGCTGAGATCATCCAGAGCTGGTGCGACGAGGTGCTCTCGAACGAATATGATACGAACAGCAGTGAGCATCAGCTCAATTTATTGTGGACATCCATTGTCTCCATCTATTTGATTGGCGGCATTTGTGGCTCCTGCTTTAGCGCCTGCTGCAGCAATAAATATGGACGGTTAGTTGGATTTATTACAAATGAATTAAATTAAATTATATTTAGTTAATTTCCTCTTGCAGCAAAGGCTCCTTGATCATTAGCAGCGTTATTCTTATGATTTGCGGCCTGCTCTTCACCTGGTGTCGCGCGGCCAAGTCACTAGAGATGCTTCTGGTGGCACGTTTCTTTGGCGGCATTGCCTCAGCTCTAATCTTTACAGCGCAACCCATGTATCTATTGGAGCTAGCGCCGTCTTCGCTCAGCGGCAGCGTTGGCGTCTTCACCTGCATTGGCGTCACAGGTGGCATTCTGCTGGCACAGATTGTCAGCTTGCCGCAGCTGCTGGGCAACGATGACAACTGGCCATATGCATTGAGCTTCTATGCGCTGCTTGTGCTCATCTGTTTGCTGCCTCTGATGTGCTATCCGGAGAGTCCACGCTGGCTGTATTTGGTCAAAGGCGATGTGGAAGGCAGTGCATATGGACTGCGTCAGTTGCGCGGCAGCGAGGTGAATGTGCAGCTGGAGCTCAATGAATTGGAGCAGACATTAGCCATGAATAACAAGTCCAGCACCATGTGCCAAGTGCTGCGCGACAAAACGCTATTCCTGCCACTGCTGCTCGTCTGTGCCCTGCAAGCCAGTCAGCAGCTAAGCGGCATCAATGCTGTAAGCAAAGGATATACTTCGGATCAATAACCAAAGCTAACTCAACGTCATCTCTTACAGATCTTCTTCTATTCGCTATCCATTTTAACCAATGCTGGCTTTTCAAGCAGCTCGGCTACCTGGTTAAACCTAAGCATTGGGTGCTTCAATCTGTTTACCTCGTTGCTTGGACCGCTGCTGTTGTATAAGTTTAATCGTCGTCCACTCCTGATGTGTTCCTGCGCCATATGCAGCGTGTCTCTGGTTGGCATGTCCTTCTCCCTATACTATCTGCTCAGCTCCGAGGGCATGGCTCTGCGCTATGTGAGCATCACATTCATCTTGACATTTATCCTGGGCTTTCAACTGGGTCTCGGGCCCATTGCCTACTTCATTGGCTCAGGTTGGCTTCGATCTCTTTGTACATTTCCTGTAAATTAATTGGATTTCTTTTCAGAGCTTCTTGAGGATGCGCCGCGTCCTGTGGCCATGTCCATAGGCAGCCTGTTCTCTTGGCTAGGCAATTTCCTCATCGGGCTGTGTTTCCCCTTGCTGCAGACCGTCTGGAGCTCGTTTGCCTTCATGCCATGCATGTGCGTTTGCATACTTTGCCTGCTTCTGGTCTGGCGCTATCTGCCAGAGACACGTGGCAGGGAACCCAAAGATGTGAAGCCACTGATGAGCCAAGGACTACGCTCCAAAATCAACTAAATAAATGTATTAGATGTTATATATAAATATATAGCCTTATCTTACTTGCATTTATAACAATAATCAGCGCAACGCAAATAAAAGGTTTCAAGCCAAAAACAAAATGTTCTCGATTTGCAATTAAAATACAATATTGCCAATGCACCTATAACTGTAATGTAAGTTGATGCGCAAAGTAAGCCGCGCACTGCTCTTATACTATCATTGCAGTTCACTCTCCCTTTTATTCTGTCTCTTTTACTTGCTCTCCTTCCTGAAGTAAGTATTAAGAATATTATTTGAATAATGTCTCTATACCAAAGATGTGAAATGAAATAATAAGCATCCAATACTAATTAAATAAATATAAATATTAAATTTCATACAAATTTTCTTTTACTGGAATTTACATTTGATGGCTAATGCACATATAACGGTAAAGTATACGAATGCGCAGCAAAAACGCAAAAATGCGCACGGCTCTTATACGCATATTGCACTTGTGCTTTATCTTCCTCTCTCACCGTTTGCTGAAATGATCAGTGAGCCAATAGCGACGTCACATTTGAAGCGTCAAAATCAGCATTTATATTCGTCTTCTAAAAATATATTGCCCCCAGTCAGTGGCTAACAGAACGTCGGGGCGAACGTTTCATTAAAGAGCAGCGCGCGCAGTTTAACTAAATGCTGCAGAGTCGGTATTAAATGCGGCAGCGTCTGATGAAGTGGAATTAAGTAATGTACGTTTATAAATAAAAATACGGTCTACGGTGCTATAGTGCTACAGGTGCCAATAAATAAATAGAGCAGCATGAATATTTTCACATTGAGTTAATGTTTAAATAACATGTCAGTGTAAATATGTATGTATGTGGTTTAAAATAGATGTGCATGGAAATCAGCTGCGAAATAAGAATCAAAACGAAACGAACCAAAACGAAATGAAACGCAACAATGCAATAACGACAACACATTAGTGACGTCACGGCCGGCGTGTCGTGTATTTGGCATCTGGCAATGAAATAACACAAAACAGCAATAACAACAGACTAACGCACACGCACACACACACACACACATAAGTGTACATATAAACATAGCCGACAGCAACAACAAATAGAAGCAATAAACATTTCTCAGCGATTGATAGTTATCGATTGTCCATGATGAATAAGTTTGCCAAATGTGTAAATATCAATAAGAACAATAATTTAAATAAACATGCGTACGTACATGTGTATGCACACGTGTATGCACGTTATGTATGAATATATATAATTTTTTTAAAAGAGTTTGCTATATGATACGACGGTCAATGTACGAAAATTAGTTTTTTAGCTTTTGTGGGTCTTGGCCCCACATCAATGTCTGTCAAACGAAACGAAGAACATTTGGTAGCCAAGTACATATTCAACTGTAATTTATTATTATTTGTGTCACTTGCTTTGCTTGCAAAAACACACATACACATATACTCATCCGTAGGCAATTTTACCGCATTATCCATGTCATTTGCTCGCACACACAGATACGCCTAAACATGCACACATTTTACCGCAACTTGCGTTTTATTATTATCCATGTCATTTGCCTTGCTCGCACACACGCATACATGCGCAACTTGCGCTTAAGAATTTTTCGTGTGTTTTCATTTGCATTCAAACATTTCTTTCTATCGTTTTTTTTTAGTTTAAACTTTTTGAATATTTTCTCGTGTAGCTGTTGGCACTTAACATTTTCTGCCTGTCTAAAATATTTCCTTGGTTGTATATTTTCTTGACGTGGGCAATTATGTACATTATGGAAAAATTAATTATGCAAGTACGCTCTTTGAGACGAGTAACTCAATGTTTGTATTATTAAGCGAGATGTTCGATTTGTGGGCAGAAAAAAGGCATAAACAAAACAGCAATTTAGTTTATGAGGCAATTCAGATTTTAAGTAAAAAGCTAATTGTTTTGTCATAAGTTAAAATAACAAGCAAAGGGAATTACACACATACATACAAACCTGCGTGCATTTACGTGTCTGCGGGTGTACACCACAAGGAACCTATACACATGAATTGTAAATACTTATATTGATATGTGTGGGCCTAAGTTCATGCAGTTATCTATGTATATGTGTGGTATGTTAAGGCAGCCAACCAGCGATTCATAGGTATAAGCATATGTATGTATGCATGTGTGTAGCTTATTCCTATTTGTGTGTTTGTGTCTACGTACGTATATTAGCATCAAATCATTGTGTAGTTTCCTTTAAATTTTCCCTTTTTACTTTTGCCTTTTGATCTTTTTTTCTTTGTTATTTTTTCGCCTTAATCCATAGAATTTCAAAAATTCTTTTCATTTTTGAGGTCAATTAGCATTTTTTTTGTTTCTTTTTTATTGATTTTGCTTTTGTTCTACATATTGTTATCTTGCTAAAAACGTTCCAGATAAAAAGAAATCATAAAAATTTAATTACGTATAAAATTAAGTTCGTTAATTGTATTTTAATAGACAATTAGCTTAGAGTTGTAAATAACTAAGTGAATTTGTTTTATTTTATTTGTTTTTTATTTTGCTAACAGCTGCTTAACTGCATTAATATAAACATCAAGTTGACAGTCTTTTTTCTCTCTCTCTCTTTAATTTCTCTATTTCTTTCCAGTTTCCTGCACACATTTTAATTAATTCTTTAATGGTTTACCCATTGAAAACGGGAATTAGGGGTATAATGATTTTGTGAAAATGTTTGGAACAGACAGAAGGAGGCAAACTATGAAGCATATATATATATATCTATATAAATAAACGTGCTGTGTTTGTATGTCCGTCTGGTCGGTTGCCTAGAGATAGATAGTATTAGACTATTTTTAAAACTAAATTCCTATATGCCAACTACATACACTATGAGCATATCGATATTTCATTCCAATCCATTATTTTGGATATATGGAAAAGTAGAGTGGAATGATTGCATTTTCAGAGTATCTCCCAGTCGGTCACTTCCCACTAGAGCACTCTTACTTGCTCCATTTGGCATATTGCTCGTAATTTTAATTCTTTTTTTATTTAACATTATTTTTGCTGTTTTGTTTTGCTTTTGGCGCCAATTTGTTTGGTTTTTAATTAGCTACATATACATACATATATTTATATGTATGTTTGTATGTATGCATGTATGTTTTTCTTTCAGTTTGATTGTTTTAGCTTGTAAAATAGTTGGCGAGTTGAATTGAATTTACGAACCGCCGCAGCAACTGTAAATACAAAACACTTATCTATGTTTCTATTTGGCTTAAAACCACATTTATAGATGAAATGTTTGCGCCTTTTTGAATTAAGTATAGACAGATATCTTTCTCAGCCAACAACATTTTCTATAATTTAGCTATGCAAAAAAGAAAAAATAAATAAATAACCGAGAAAAGAAAGAAACACGAAATGCCCACAAATTAGACAAATGACTGTTGGCTGTTGTAGAAGTTTATAAAAATAAGCTTTAACATATTTCACACTCGCTAAATGAAACTAGAGGGCGCTAAGAAGGAGAGAGAGATAGATCAAGAGAGGGAGAGAGAGAGATATAGAGACTTTGATTGACTAAATGATACGCTGTAATAGTAAAAATAGAACACAGGGCAACAGGCAATGATAGACGTATGTGAGAGCTTGATAGTTGCTAATCCGATATGTAATAAGATAGACATAAGACTAGAGGGAGACTAAGTATTGCTTAATAATACTAAATATTAAAAAAATAGTTTTTGAATAGTTGAAAATCGCATAGAAAGGCGCTAATTATTTGCTAACGCTCGATTTTTAATAAGAAGTATTCCCTAGTAATAAATCCGTGTAGATACAGTTCTATATATATATATATATATATGTATAAATATTAATAGATCTCTCTGATTACTCATACTATTCCAAAATAGTTAGCAGTATGCATTAGCCAAGTTATACTGTATACATAATTTTTGATGAATTCATATCAATTTCATTATACCCTTCATTACAAATTCTTAGGGTATTATAGAAAAAATAGGAAAGAAACGCATTTGGCAAGCTCCTCGAATATGATTAGGAAGTCTTCATATTTTGATGCTGTGGGCAGCAGAGACTAGACGCCAAGTGTCACCATCATTATGATTATGGTGATGATGATGGCGATCATCATCATCATGATCAGAGCAATGCCACCCACAGCTTTCGCTTCGCAGACACAAAAAATGTTTGGCAACTGCTAAAGCAAGAAAACGAAATAATTCATATTCAAATTCATATTCCATATTTATATTCATAGCACTTTTATGAAAACAAGTCCAAGTCCATTGATGCGTCTGCTCTTAGACGAATATTTAAATTAATCTGTTCGAAAATATCATTAAACTGTCACTGCGAATGGGGCACTCAAAAGAATTATCACTAGTTAATATGAGTTATGCTCTATTTCAATATTTCAATTTTTGGATTATTAAAAAAATATAGATCTCAAAATATTATAGAAAAAAAATGTTTAAGATAAATATATGTTAGAAATCATTGCAAAAAGAATTTTAGATAAAAATATTATAAATATAAAAAAATATATTTTTTTATCATTGCGTAAAGAATTTTAGATAAAAATATCAATATAAAAAAAATACATTTTTTTGAAAAATTCAATTAAATCAATTAAATATTCTTATACATAATTTAAAGTTATTTCTGACTTTTATATCACCAAAAAATTATCAAATAATATTAATAAAAGAATTCTTATAATATATTATAAAATATGTTAGTTTTCTAAAAAACAATTGCTTTCTAGACTAAATAAATATTTATGGAAATTAATATTATAAATTTTTGCATAGTAAAGTAAACTAATATTTTTCAAAATAATATTTTGTTCATATATATTGTTATAAATATAAATATATAAATGTTTAGAATATATACATAAAAAAATTAAATTCTCACCTAGAATTTAAGCCCAGCTTAATTCATCTTAAGCTAAATAAGGCTGGCCCACTAATTTATACAAGCATCAACAATTAGTTCGTCTACAAAAATAAGTATAGTAAAAAAGCGAGAATTTACTCAAGCACTTGTTGCCATAAACATGCAGCTATAAATAAAGAGAACTGCAAATAAAATAAAATACAGGCGAGTAAATAAATATCAGCTCAAAGATTTAGTAGCAGTTTAGTAATATATGGAGTGTGAGAGTGTCTGCTAGTTAAAGTAGACTTTTTGTTTATTTGGCTACTTTGGGTAGCTGAAGCAGGAAGTCCTTTAGCAACAATTAATGGAATGTTTATGTATGTTTGCAGCTCTTTTAAGGAAACAGCCAATTTAGATCAATGGGCAGGCCAAGCATCGAATCGAAGCATGTACAGACGACAACTCGAGAGTTGCCAACGAGCCGCTAATCGAGGCAAAGTCCAATTGGCTTTCGATTTCGATTCGGATTCGGATTTGGCTGTGGATGCATTGGAGTGGAGACCATCGTCATCATGTCATCGCGGCGCAGCTCCTTTCGTCGCAAAGTCGCAGAGAAGCCGGCATTTGAGCGTTTCAAGGATCATTGCCGTCACTTCACGGCATTCATGTTCAGCAATGTCGGCATCATACTTCTAGTCACATTTTATACCATTGGCGGCGCCTTCATCTTTCAGACAATCGAAATTTTCGAATACGAAAAACTCAAGACGAAAAACCTAATCAAGCCCAATGCAAGTGCTGAGTGCCTCAATAGCATCTGGAAGCTGACGTCTGAGAATATCAGTTTCTATGATCGACAGGCCTACAGAAATAGGTAAACTTAATATTATATTCATTATAAACAATTTCATTTACTTACTCTTCTCGTATCCTTACTTTTCAGTGTTAACGAAGTGCTGCTGCAGTATCAAAAAGCTGTGTATAAGAAACAGATCAAGGGCCCCGATGTCGATCATCAGTGGAGCTTCTCGGGCGCGTTTCTCTACTCACTAACTGTCATCACGACCATTGGCTATGGCAACATAACTCCCAGCTCCGATTGGGGCAAGCTGGTGACCATACTGTATGCCATCATTGGCATGCCACTCTTTCTGCTTTATCTCTCCAATATAGGTACGCATATATTGCTAGGGAGACCATATGTGCACGTATATTCAATTGTCACTAAGAGAAAATTGTACATCAGTATTATGAAATATCATACATACGTACATACGTACATACGTACATACGTACATACGTACATACGTACATACGTACATACGTACATACGTACATACGTACATACGTACATACGTACATACGTACATACGTACATACGTACATACGTACATACGTACATACGCACATACGCACATACGTACATACGCACATACGCACATACGTACATACGCACATACGCACATACGTACATACGTACATACGTACATACGTACATACGTACATACGTACATACGTACATACGTACATACATACGTACATACATACATACGTACGTACGTACATACATACATACATACATACATACATACATATATATATATACATACATACATACATACATACATACATACATACATACATACATATGTAAATATATGCATACATATATACATATGTACTCACAAACACTAGATAGCACTTCACACAAACTTTCACATTTCCACACACTAACACAATGAAAAAACACGTATATGTTACGCCTGTAAACCTCAATAGCTTACTTGAGTTCTTGAGAATCGCATAGGACGGCAGCATAAAAATCACCTCTGCATGCTGTTAAGCCATCTGTTATGGCTGCTCCTCCAACTCCTCCTGATAACTCCTGCTAACAGCTTAGCTCTCTACTTGAACTTATGAGAATCGAGGAGTAAGAGAAAGAGTTAACATACTGTGCACATACATGCAGACAAACATACATACATATATACATATATGCATACATATATGTTGCATACATCAAATTTGATTTTTGACCCTTTATCAAGAATTGTACAAAGTAGTTTGTGCTTTCAATTATGTTTTTTGCGATTATTAAAAGTTGATTCTTTTTTTCACCTGACACAGGTGATGTGCTGGCCAAATCCTTTAAATGGATCTACTCCAAGGTCTGTCTGTGTCGCATTTGCCCGGGCGTGGCCAAGCGGCGCATAATCCGCGAGCGACGCAAACTGCGTCAGTTGGCGCGAGCGGTTAGTCGATAATATAGCATAGTATCATAAACATTCTATATATTTATTTCCTGATACAGTTGCAGTTGCATAACATGGAAAGCGCTCGTGGCGGCGGCAGCAGCAGCAGCAACAGCTACTCCAGCAACAGCAACAGCAGCTCGAATAGCAGCAGCACCAGCAGCAGTGCTTACACCAAGAGCTCTATGCAAACTTCCAGTGTGCTCGATGTGCCGTATTCCGATTCGGATTCAGATATTGAACGGGAAATACGCGGCAGCACGGATGAAATAACGGTACCACTAACTGTCTGTGTCTTTGTGATGGTCAGGTAAGTGGCAAAAGCCGGCGACATTTGAATACGATTAATTGATTAATTGATTAATGGAATTTAAAGCTATATATTATCGGGTGCCATACTCTTTGGACGCTGGGAGGATTGGAATTATCTGGATGGCAGCTATTTCTGTTTTATCTCATTGAGCAGCATTGGATTTGGTGATTTGGTGCCAGGCGATCGTGTGGTATGCAATTCAAATGAGCTGAATAACTACTTCAGCATCAATAATCTTATTAAGTCATGTATAACAGCTATTTTAAGCATTCGACTAGATATATAGAGAGATATATAAATATTGTTTAGGGTAGAGCCAGTTCTTAAAGTTAAAAACAATGATCTTTTCATCAGATTGTTAAATCATGCAACCAGCAGAGATCAACAAAGGAAATTTGTAGTATAAGGTTGACAACTTATGCAAACAGTTATTATAATAACTATATTTGCAAATCTCTTTACACTGTTGTATTCACAATTATTTATATTTCTAGATAACCGCCGATAAAGACAAAGTCGAGTTGAGCTTCATTTTATGTGCCGTTTATTTGCTGCTGGGTATGGCCCTAATTGCCATGTGTTTCAATTTGATGCAGGTGAGTTGGAAACATATATTCCATATTCGATTTATATATATTTTATTTGGTTTTAGGAACAAGTCATTCATAATATGCGCGCTATAAAGCGTGGCTTCAAGGCCTGTTTTCGCTGCCGCAGCTCATAGCCAAAGAACAAAATTGGTTGACGTACAAAATTTTATTAAACAATCACGTATTTATAAGCTAAAAATTAACTAGTCTCGTAGTTGTACATACATATATAGATATATATATGTGTTAGCAAGAATGTGTTCCTTTTCCTCTGTTTTGTTTATTTATCATTTGGTAAATCAATTTGTAACTTTATACTTAAATGTTAGCTTATCTTAGTCTAGTCCTATTTTTAACAATACGAAATTAGAATTCTAAATACTGCTGCCCGTTGGCCATTCCTCGAATCTGACTATGTTTTATATGCCATACACTAATTAAATAGATATCTATAAATGAGATTTATGATATATATTTGGCCTCTTTTATAATCTAAGCGCATTGTACAATTTTGCGGTTAAATAAGTGTATTTATTGCCTTTTTTTAGAGCACTCACGTTTAAAAATTCTTATTCTTTTCACCAACCGCTCTTGTTCCGACTTTGATCTATGCATGTATGAATTTTTTCGTTTTCAGCAACCTTGTTCACTGGCTCTTATACTATTTCAAACACAATATTCTTATCCACTTCACCAACCGCTTTTAATCTTTTTATAATAAAGCATGTGCTAAAATCCTATTCTTTTCAGCAACCTATTGGCCATAGTTTTGTCTTTACACCATCGCGTGAGCCATATTCTTATACGTTTCACTAACCACTGTTTGTTTTTCAGCAACCACGTTTATTCCGATTTATTTTCTGTTGATCTTATACTGTTCTAGTATGAGCTATGTTCGTTTTCTTTTTAACCGCATTTTTTCGGATTTGGACATTTGCTTTTCCAGCCGCTTCTCCTTGGCTATCAACGATCGGACCTGACGATCGTGCTCCAGTGGAGCAGTGCCCGATAGCTCCGCATAGCTGGGCAAAGTTTCCGAGTATTTTTCAACGCAGGCATCTTTAAATTGTTTGCTTAGCTTGGAAGAGACGTGCCCGTGGCCCGGCGAAGTGAGCATGTCAAAGGCAGTCCCTTTAAGTGCGTCGTATTGTTGCCGTGATTTGCCCGACACCTGTTTACGACGTATTTTCGTTTTCGTAATTGGCGGAGCTGTGATCTTCTGCGTATTCGGCTTGGGAAGCGATTTCTTTTGATCCACAATTAGCTTTCGATGACGCACCTCCAATTTCATGCTGGGACTCGGCGGCTTTGTCGATGATACCTTTGCTAGTTTCTTCTTCTTCCAGACAATTGGGGACTTCGGATGGCAACTGCTGCTGCTGCCGCTGCTGTTGTTGTTGTCCAAGGCGTTTTGTTTGCGCCGTGCATATGTGCGTACAGGCGGTGCTTTGTGCATAAAGTTACATTGAGCAGAGTCTCCGCTCTTTGTGGAAATGGTCAAACTGGAAGTGGATGCAGGCTGAACCACCTTTAAGGAATCTAGCGTCTCACTCCTGTTGTGGGAATCCAGCGCTGTATTAACCGCAGTTGACGTGGAAGAGGTTTCGAGGTACGGTAACAGAGCATCTATACAAATGGGCGTGGCCGTAGCAGTCTTGGCAGCTCCTGCTGCTACCCTGCAACGTACTTGCTGCGGCGTCAGGTCCATAGATAGATTCTCTTTATCGGCCCTAATGACCTCTCGCACCGATGGGCTGCTGGATGTGGGTGTGCTTCTGGCCAATGGTGTCGATGTGTTTGCAGTATTTGGTTCATAGTTGAATCTCTGTGGCGTAGAAGTGGTAACGCCAGCAACTACTCTAACATCGCCAAATTTGGATGCGGGCAATATTAACTGGCCAGTTTGAACATTGGCAGCGGCAGCATCACAGCAACGATGACTGGGTATGATGTTCTGGAAAGTGATTCGTCCCTTGACGATTTGCGGCATAAAAAGTTCACTCTCGAAGCCCACACAGTCGATCAGTACCACATTATTGCCGGACAATAGCTTGATTTTGAAATTCAACGCTGCGATTGGCGTTTGGCTTGGCATTATTTATGATTCTTGTATTTGCTGATAGACTGACTTTCTACCTAACGGCGTGTAGCGAACATTAATCGCAATTTACGTAAATGTGTAAATAGTAAGATAAACAACACTTCGAGGGAACAACTATAATAAAACTACATTTGACAAGTCTACCGAAAGTTGTAAATCAATTTTCGACAGTTTGTTATTATTTTTTGGCGTCAGTAGTAAGAGCGGAAATTATCGATAATAGCAGCATCGCATAACAATCGATTCGTTGAAAACAGACGACTCAGGGCTGCACAGTCTTTGTATTGAACGTGGAGTTAGTTCAATTCATGTAATTGAGTTTTGCACTAGTATTCAATTTCCGTTGGCGGGAACAAGTTATAGTTATTAATATTATCAATTAGGATGTCTTTAGTTTAATTAAATTGAATTCAAGATGCCAGAACGAACGTTTTATCACATTAAATTTGTTTTGTACTTACTATATTTCAAAATACGTTTATTTTTATATATACATTATTGTACCGTTAGATCGTACATCTATGCATCTCAACTATGTTTTATCAGTGTTCTACTATCATATTTCGGCAGTGTTAAATGAAACCAGCTTTTCCTTGATTTAAAACAAACAACTTTTATTTGAACAAGCTAAATTCAATGTTTGGATTTTGTAAGATAAGCAAAAAAAATGTACAACGCAATTTCTATCAATAATGTGTAGCTGTCGAAACGCATTTGAAACTCCTCTCTGCCCGTGTGCGAAATGCCGACAAAGAGAAGAGCAGAGAACGAAATAAAAGTAAACAAAAAAAGCTGTTATTTGGTTCCGCTGATCTCCCTCTCTCTCGTTCGCTCTTCCTGGCTCTCTGAAGTGCGTATGCATAATCGGCTCATCAAGTGTGTGTTTTCCATCTATGTGAGTGATTTTTTTTCTCTTTCTTAAGTGTACATATGTGTAAGAATGCATCTGTGTAAGAATAATACCATTTTGGTTGGATTTCTTTTTGTTTTTGTCAAATATGGTTCCTGTTGTAAACGTTGGTAGGGTAAGTATACAAATATAAAACAATATTTTCATCGTTTTTTATCGTTATCTTGCCTTATGTAAGCTTATAAGAGCTACAGCGGCATTTGTTGCATTTGTTTCCATGGAAAACATTTGACAACCATATGTATGTATATTTATGTATATGGACATGCGGGCAAATATTTTCATTTTAATGCGAAATTATAATAAAAAGTCATAAGTACATATATATATATATATATATATATATGAGCAACTTTAAATATGGGTGATTGCTATGCTTATTTAAAGATGAAAATACATAGATAACTACAGTATGAAAAATTATGTATATACTATACGCCAATTTCTTACATGTTATTTGCTAATGTCACTTAGCAGAATTTTTCAATCACTAGGAACCTCCATGCTGCTTATACAAATGCATACAATACATACATACATATATACATGTTTATATATAAATACATGTACACGCACCGGTAAAATTAAGAAAATAATACAAATGTCTGTAGGTATCGATCGATTGGGAGTGCAGGTTTAACAAAATGAAATGACTCACTAAAGTGTAGTGTAGAACTAGCAACAACAATAACATGCTCGCCTCTCTTTCCACTACTCTTTCTCTCTCTCATATTGCTAAGTGCTTTTTCGAATTTCAATTTCACAACGAGCGGGTATAAAAGCCACTAGACGAGCAAATAGAACTTTAGTCCGCTACGACCAACACAAGTACAAGCATCAACATTCGCCAGAGTTCATTGGCTTTGTGTGCTGTCAATTAAAATTTTCAACTACAAAAAAGTGTGATTTCAACGTTAGCTATGGCGACAACTATCCAGATGACCAATGAGCAACTACATGCGCTCATCGAGGCTGTACGTTCATCAGCGGCCAGCGCAGCCGGCAATGCCGCTGCTGCTGCTACCGGCAGCGACGCCTCAAAGTCAAAAGGAAGCTTCAGCACCTGCACGCACAAGTTTAGCGGCGCTCGCAATCACGAGGACGTCGAGGAGTTTATCACAAATATTGTAACCTACAAGGAGCTTGAAGATATCAGCGATGAGAATGCTTTGAAGGGTCTCTCCCTGCTCTTTAATGGTATTGCATCCACCTGGTGGCAGGGCGTCCGAAAAGAGGCCAAGTGCTGGAATGATGCCATCGGCCTCATTCGCGAACACTTTTCGCCCACCAAGCCAGCCTATCAGGTCTACATGGAGTTCTTCGAGAAGAAGCAGGACGACAGCGTTGCCATCGACACCTTCGTTGTCGAGAAACGTGCGCTGCTCGCCCAACTACCAGAGGGACGTCATAATGAAGAAACCGAACTGGACTTCCTCTACGGCCTGCTGAACATCAAGTACCGCAAGCACATTCCCCGCCAAGGTGTTCAAACATTCCGCGATCTACTCGAAAAGGGCCGCATCATTGAGCACAACAACCAGGAGGATGAGGCGCAACCGAAGGGACCGCTACGCGGCGCCAACCGTGTTGAACGCTGCACCTACTGTAATTTCCGTGGTCACACGTTCGAGGTCTGTCGTAAGCGACAAGCGCGGGATCAGACGAACGCGGCGAACTAAAAACTACACACACACGCACACAATATATGAGACATGACATCAGCGGCAGCTACAATAACAACAACATGCGCAGGGCGCATATTTGGATGCCTACGTCAATGTCTCTCTCACCAATACCATCAACACTCACTTTGCCACGCTGGCCTCACATGGACAAGAGGAGAGTTGAAAATGACAACATCGAAGAACAGCGACATACACAGAATGCTCTTGGAGCTTTTTGGCCAAGTCAGTTTCTAACTCTCATTCAGCATCAAGTGGCGTGCCGGCAAGTAAAGCAGAGCTAAAACAACAAACAACAAAACGGGCATTTCGATGTCGAATACACTTCACGCCGAAAATTCGGCTCTCTTTGGTACTGAACACCAACTTAAATGATTTTTCGTGATATTTTTATCACAACTGGGAACTCTACAACAACCGGTGAACTAGTTCACCAACACCCGAGCGGCAGGGTATGTAGGATAGGTTGGTGCACGCATTTCGCTCCTAGGCTAAGTCGCTGAGCTTTCGTGCTGCGCAACAGAGCAGCGGCGCTTGTCGTACATAGATTTTCTCTGCAGTTCTTCGGAATTTCGCAGTTGATGAGCTTTGTGCGGCTAACGTCGTTGACTCTGCTTCGCGGGCGTCAGCGCACCGACTAAGGCCGTGATGGGTGTTGCGTGCACTGTGCCCTTCCCCCTTTTCTTGTCGCTCAAACCCGCTGCCTTGGTCTAGTGTCGGCGCAGCGCAGCTGTGGATCGTATGCGGCGATCAAAGAGCGGGCGCAAATGCTTCGTTGGCTTCGGCCAGTGGAACTGTGCGCTCACTTGTCGCTTATTTCGAACTGCAGCTGCTGCAGTGTCGGTCCTTAGTCAATGCGGCAAAAAAAAAACACGTCCATGGGAAGACAACGCAGTGGCTTTCGTGTGTCGCAAGCCGCAAGGCGCAACTACACGTTGATGCCCAGCTCTGGCAGCACGATGCAGTTAACTTCAGTGCGCTGTTGCAGTTCATTTCGGTGCGCTGCTGCAGTTTACTTGGGTGCGCTGTAGCGCTGCTGTTAACTGTGCTCGGCTTGAAATTGTAGCCTTCGCGGGTTGCTTCTGTGCGACAGCCGCAACTGAGGCTTGGTCATGGACAAAACTTAATTTTCTTTTAAGAAAATTGAAAAAAAAACAACTTTAAATAGACATTTTAATGTCAAACACACTAAAACGGTTTACATCGCACTACAATGGCTATGCTTTCGCCATTCGTGCGGTTGGCACGCTAAACTATCACGGACTGGTGCTCCTTCCTTGGAGCTCCACTCGCGTGGTAAGCGTAAGGCACGCCAGCTCATACACACACACACACAAACAGAGGCTTCCGATTCGTCGCTGCTTTGCGGCTCCAGCTTGTGGCGACTGTCGAGAAGCCTCACAATATTGTAAATCCAGTCTCTTGTGCAGAATCCTTAGGCGCGCAGTGTCACCACGAACATCGGTGTCCACACCATTGTTGCCGTCACTCAGCAACGTGCGCCAGCATTTTGGAGCAATTGGCCAACCAAAACGTTGCAGCAGCGACGGCACGCGTTTTCCCGATGAAGTATGCGCAATGTCGATCTCTCTCGGCATTTGTACACTCTTCAAGCTGAGTGCCTATCGATGACCACGAGAGACTGTGATAAGCACCAAAACATGAAATTATAAAGACTGAAACCAGAAAAATAAATCCTCATAAACACAAAACTAAATTTTCAATGTGTTTTTATACGTGTTATTGCGGGCGGGGTTTGCATTTCTAAAAAAAAAAAAAAAAAAAACATTTTATAAATCAAAAAAGAAGATATTGTTTGTTAATTTTCAGATTTGAACCAGAATAAAAATAAATCGGCACAGTTAAACTCTTTCAAAAAAGACAAAGAAAATAAATAAACTAAATTTTTGTTTTTTATTATTAATAAAACACATTAAAATATGTATGAGGATTCATATCACAATTTTGTAAGGGTATTTACTCTCCGGTAAACATTTTTTGTTTGTCTTTAGAAAAGCACAGTTAACTTAACGGCGTTCAGTCTTCTTTCGTTTTCATACTTTCAACTTAACTGAACTATGGCGTGGAAGTGGAAATACCCTGGAGATTTACTTATGTAGCTTACAAATATTTTATTTAATAGAGGGATAAAAACAGTTCGACTAGTTAAAATTGTTGCTCATTTCGTGCGCTCGACCATTCGGCCACGTTCGAGCAACTCTTTGAAGGATTTGATTTCGTGACGTGGTATGTGCTCTCTGTACTTTTGCTGCATCAGGCCGTAGATGAAATCTAACTCGGTCTCCTCGTTGTGGCGACCCTCGGGCAGCTTTGCCAGCAGAGCGCGCTGTTTGCATATAAACTGGTCGATTACTTCTCTGCTTTCCTGTTTCGATTCGAAGATTTCCATGTATATCTGATAGGAGGGTTTTGTGGGCGAGAAGTGATCGCGTAGCAGCTGTAGAGCATCTTGCCAGGTTTTGGCATCTCGCCGCACGCCCTTCCACCACATAACGGCAACGCTATTGAAAAGCAACGAAATGCCTTTCAGTGCGTCTTTGTCGCTAATACCCTCTACCTCTTTGTATGTTTCGACTGCTGTTATGAACTCGTCGACAGCGTCGTGGTCTCGCTGCCCGCTAAACCGAACCGCACAGTTGCTAAAGCTGCCCTTCGATTGCTGCTCCTTCTCATCTTGCTGGGGTGCCAAAGATTTGATTGTTTCAATGAGTATGCGAAATTGTTCGTCAGACAATTGCGTCATTATGCGTTGCTCGTTCGGTCACATATGTCGCCAACGCAAATAAATAAACAAAAAGTTCTTGCTTCGATGCGGTCAACGTATCAACTGAATAAAAGAAAAGCTTTTTGCGTTGTGAAATAGTAAAACGGCCTGCTCTCTGAGAGCGTGGAATAGCTTTCGAGTTCGAAAAACCGGCAACAGTTGTTGTTTTCGTTTGTTATGAGTAATATTCTCTTGTATATATATATATATATGTGTTTCGCATAGGGACTTTTATTTGTTTATCATTAGTTATTTGACATATGTGTACATTAGCACGAATATAAACATACTCACATACATCTGCTTGCACATATGAACTGTTGTTTGTTTCTTCGTACTTATCTATCTATTTCTTTCCAATTGGAATATCATACGAAATTGTATATAATTGAAAACCATTAGGAGACAATGTGTTACTTCAAAAACCACTCCATAATTAAGATGTTTATAAGTCAAAGATGCTTTTGAAATTGGTTTCTTGATTATCATCGATAGATTGCGAAATCATCGAAGATAGCTCGAAATTTCTATTGAATTGGTAAACAATCTAATATAGTTACTAACTAAAAAACTTTAAAGGCAATTAAAATTTCCTTTGGTCCCTTTGACACAGGACACGGCAGAAAATACCAATTATTCATGAAATATAATTATCATGAATACAGAATTATATAGAATGGGAAAATTGAAATTAATAAAAATTAAAGTAGCTTTCAAATCACCTTGTTTTTAAGGATGTTTTTTGTGCTACTAATTATACTAGTTTTGACAATTTATCAAACTGAAATCTTAGCGAATTAACACTTATGTTCTCAAACACTATGAATACCAAGGTGCCTGATTTTTATGGTTCAGTTCCATAGAATTGATAAGTAAGCCCTAAGTTTTGGTGACTTAAATTGATAAAAAGCAAACAGTGCACAAACATACATATATACGTCTCTATTATGTATGTACATGTAGACATACATAAATAAACCTATTATAGTGGAGCTCGCTCTATGTGTGGACACATTGATTATCAACGCTATGAATCATTCATACACGAAATTCTCTCGGAGCGCGTAATTTTTTGGATGCAATGTTCAATTTCACAACATGTATTAATAAACCGGCTACAAAAGACGAAAACTTTTCAGTCTACCGGCAACTTTTGGCGGTGCTGTGGAGCAATCTGTTTAAGCTACTAATCACCGGACTATAACATGGCTCAAACAATACAAATGACCAACGAGCAGCTGCGTGAGCTCATCGAAACGGTACGCTCCTCTGCTCTGACAGCTGCAACAACTGGCGGGGAAGTCCCGACGACCAAGTCGAAGGGCAGTTTCAGCACCTGCACGCACAAGTTTAGCGGCGCTCGCAATCACGAGGACGTCGAGGAGTTTATCACAAATATTGTAACCTACAAGGAGCTTGAAGATATCAGCGATGAGAATGCTTTGAAGGGTCTCTCCCTGCTCTTTAATGGCATTGCATCCACCTGGTGGCAGGGCGTGCGAAAAGAGGCCAAGTGTTGGAATGATGCCATCGTCCTTATTCGCGAACACTTTTCGCCAACTAAGCCGGCATATCAGGTCTACATGGAGTTCTTTCAGAATAAGCAGGAGGACAGCGTACCCATGGACACATTTGTGGTCGAGAAACGTGCCTTGCTCGCCCAATTGGAAAATGATCGTCACAACGAGGAGACGGAACTGGATTTCCTCTACGGTCTGCTGAATATTAAGTACCGCAAGCACATTCCTCGCCAAAGTGTCTCAACATTCCGTGATTTACTGGAGCAGGCACGCATTATTGAGCACAACAATCAAGAGGAAACCCAAACCGAAAAACATTCACGGAAACGTAATTACTCGCGTATGTAAAAAGATGTTACTTTCTATCAATTTGTTCTTAAATACGATTCATTGTCCATAGAAAGTTGGCCCTGGCAGAGGTATGGGCAGAGGTAGAGGAAGAGGAAGAGGCCGTGGCAGAGGCAGAGGCCGGGGCTTTGGCCTGCAGCCGAACGGCGAGGAGGACGTGCCCATGACTGAGGAACCTCAAACAGAAACATAAGAGGAATAAATTTAGAAATATACGAAAACATAAATAAATATATAATTATAAAATTTAAATTATACATTTACATATAAAATGTAAGTATAAATTATTATATAGTTAAATAATTTAAATAAATAACGTATTGTAGTTGCAAAATAATAATATGCAAATATTTTGATTTAATCAACAAGTTAAATTAGCGCACAATGTTGCCATATATTTTATAGAGCTGCCACTGAGTACTCATTTGGTAACCAGGGCAGTGCCGCATTGGTATCGGCAATCGTCTGGGACTGCGCAGTGCGCAGGGTTGCTGTGCAGCTAAAGTATTGGTATCGGACGGTCGTATTTTTGTTATGCTGTTGTTGTTGTTTAGCAAAAATGGATCAACAACTGCACCGTCTGACGGATCGTCATTACTCGGAAGTGGAGGGCTTGCTACAGGTATACAAACATCATCCAAATTTTGCTAGCATGCCAAAATTTAATGTGTCAATTATTACAACGCCCAATTTTTCGCCCGTTTTTTTCGTCTGCTGCCCACTCACGCGAACGCACCCACTCTCAAAACACCAACACATACACACATAAAAACACATTAACACAAATACACACGCATTCAGGCTATGGACATGCCGAGTTCCGACCACGAAGAAATTGAGTCGGAATCGTGCCGACTTAGCCGGTATAATGTGGCCAACCTGTATGAGGGACGTCAGCGTTGCTACACAATGCCGCACGTGCCCCCAGCGCCGCCCTCCACACCAACGTTGTTAACGTCCAACGGCAACAGCAGCGGCAATGCCAATGGGAATGGCAATGGCAACAGTAACGGCAGCGCCAATGGTAATGGTAGCTCCAGCTCACCCACCGCCAGCCTGGTGGCCGATAATCAATCAATCAATCATTTTATCTATGTTAAAAACGGTAAGAACCTGCGTCGTGAAACCCGTTGCGTTGACTCTGAGCTATCCAAATTGTTCAACGTTGTGTCCATCACAAATCGGCTAACTGCCGTCAAGAATCGTGCGCACAAACAGCATCAGCATCAGCACCAACATCAGCAGCTGGCCGACCGCGGTATCATAAATGCATCCCGGGCCATCTCCAAGCTGCATGGTGCGACGAAAATCTTCAAGATACATCGCGATCCCAAGGAATTCCTGCGCGAAACGGACGAGGACTCAGTGTCAGCGCCCGAATACGATGAAGAGGAGGAGGACACACGTTTCCGATTCTTTCGACGGACACGGCATTCGCGCCGGCATTCGTTTACGCGCATGGAGCGTAAATTTGCACGGTTCGAGCATCACGAGCGTATGGAAACGATCGTTGATAGCTTCGATGCGGCCATGAGTTTTAACGATGCAGATACCTGAGCGGATGCACAAGCTGACGCTACAACCACTAGAACAACAACAACAGCAGCAACAGAAACACCTTCAGCAACAACAACAACAACAGCAACAGCAACTGTAGCGACAGCTTCTGCAATCAAGCAACAACAAAAACAAAAACAACAACAACACCACAGGCACGAAGGGCAAGTGGTTGGCCGCCAAGTGCAAACCAATGTGATGAATGTGAATTTCAACTAAATTATTTTTATTACTACTATTATATTACTATTATATTACGATTATGATTACCGATTATCGATTACCGAACTGTTCTCTCCATACATTTAGTTCTCTTTATTGCGCCAATTGGCCCGTCGCATGTCACTCTTGTGGAACGATCTGACGATTGAGACGTCCGATCCTTCAGCAGCTCTCAGCCTCCATAATATGGAAGGCAGTGAATTGCTGCCACAAGCGAATGCGTCGATTAAGCGCAGCAGGTCGCAGCATTTAGTTTATAGTTCTTAGTTCTTACGCCTGGGCGGCTCCTCTCATCTGAATATCGCAGTCGACGGCAACAACAATAATAATAATAATATAAATAATATAAACAGCAACAGATATAACAAAGCAACAAGCACAATTTTTAGTATTTAGTTGTGGTCTAACGAACGCCGTGTCCATTTGAATGAGGAGCAGCCAAACGAACGATTCCAATAAATAATGCACAAAATAATGTGTTGTATTTGTGAAGATGAAACCGCAATTTGTTCTTTCCATTGATTCCATTATCCAAATGGAGCTATTTAAGAAATTGTTTATATATGACCTATATATATATATATATATATAAATCGAACCCTTTCCAACTTCGAGTCCGTTTCTAAAACATTTTAAAATAAAAATGCAACTTTATTTTTTAGGTTTAGCTCTGTATACAACAAAAAGGTGTCATAACTAAACAATTTCCTAAACGTAGTTTGTTAAAAGAGAACCCAACACAGTTGGAGGAAACCCACAAACCGTGTAAAAGTGTGTGCATCAAATCTAATTTCCAATTGTATATTTTAAATTCTACAACTTAAATTGAATTAGAGTTAGTTTTCGCAGTGGGGAGGTCACAAAAAGTGGAGCTACAAACTAGAATACAACATGTTCCGAGAACCGATTAATAGATATGCTTTAGAAGCTAAACAATATAACATTGTTGTTAATCCTCAATAACAACATATTAATAACTAATAACTAGTTCGAGTAATGTCAATAGTGGGGCCTGCTGGTTAACCTAGTTTAGATGCGCTCCTTGAAGAAGTTGGCCATCAGATTCTCTTCGAGCTGGGCTGGATCTGTCACTGGCATGCGGCAGACGCGATCATGGCAAATGTAGACGGTCGTCTTGCCATTGACCATCTTAAACTTATGCTGCAAACGCTGATTGCATGCGTCATCCGGATGCAGTGGATCACAGTGCACGATTATCATGCCCGGCACATAGAACTTTCGTACAATCTCCACAAAGCGTCGCGTGTCCGCGGAATCGGGACCTACCACGGCAACCAGATCGAGACCGTTTTCATGTAAAAGCAGCGCCGACAGCATCTCGGGCAACGCATGCCCAAAAGGCGAGACATCAGCAAAGTAATTTAACAGCTTCGAAGCCCGATCCAAATAGGTCGGATCATCGTAATAATGCGAGAGTAACGTGAGATTACGTGCAGCGACACTGTTGCCGCATGGCTCGGCGCCGTCATGATCTGTGAAAAGCGAGATTGAGATTAGAAGTGGAATGACTTGCGAGTGATTAAAAACCAACCTTCCTTGAGTCTCACTATGACATTCGGGGCATCTTGCTGTGAAAAGAAATAGGCGCCCTTTTTTTCATCCCAAAACAGTTTGTCCTGCGTCTCCTGCAGAGTCTTGGACCAATTCAACGCTGCCATGTCTAACGAGGCCTTATAATAGTCCAGCAAGCCTTTGATGAGAAACGCATAATCATCCAGAAAGCCCTCAATGCGAGTGCTGTAAAGTAGGCTATATATAGTAGGTTTACAGTTAAATTCGCTCGCACTTACGCATTCTGCTCGAGCGTATTATCTTCCACGCCCGCTCCATAGCAGGAGCGCAGTAGCAGCTTCTCTTCCTCAACGTATAGATGACTGCGTAGGAATTCCAACAGTTGCTTAGCTGTAGCCAAATATGCATCTCGCTTGGCTGTGCCGCAATTGGCCAGCTTCGCTAGGCCGGAGAGCACCAAACCGTTCCAGCCACAGATGATCTTCGTATCCAAATGTGGACGAGGACGCTGATCTCTAATCTTGTGTAATATGCCATTAGCTGTCTGCAACAGCTGCTGCAGTTGGTCCAGCTTGATGTTGAAGTTCGAACACGTGTCTTCCTCCGAGCCACGTATTATTAGTATATTCTTGCCGGTCAGGTGGCCATGCGGATCACTAGAGGGACGCACATTGCCCGCAGGCTTCAGGTCATAATGGAAACTATAAATTTCAAAAGCACGAGCCGCACTGACATCCTTAAAGCAGGATTCTTCCTTTTCAAATGCCTGTTTCACTTCATCCCAAGTCCAGGCATAGAAGGCACCCTCAACCTTGACAGTATCCTCATGGGAAGGCAAGGAATCGGCATCCTCGCCCGCATAAAAACCGCCCGCTGGATGACGCAAATCCTTGATCAAATACTCATAGATGTGATCTGCATAGCCGAGAAACTCTTTGCTTCGGGTCAACTTATAAGCATTGGCATACGCAGACATCAGTTGACCCTGGTCATACAGCATCTTCTCGAAGTGAACATTGTGCCAATCTCGCGTTGTCGCATAGCGTGCAAAGCCGCCAAAAATGTGATCATTAATGCCGCCACGTCCAATGTGATCCAGCGTCTGCAGCACCATGTCAAGCACATCCACATCCTTGCTGACCAAATAAGCATGGAAGAGGAAATTGAGTCGTGGCACTTCCGGAAACTTGGGCTCCCGGCCAAAGCCCGCACATTGCTGATCATACCGCTGCTTGTGCACTGCCAACGCTTCCGCTAGCTTGGCTTCGCCGCTGCCCCGCTCGAAGGCTGCTTCCGTATTAGTTCCTGTATTCTGGTTGGTTTGCATGGCCTGCAGCAGGGTGTTACCCGCTTTCTTAAGCGACTCGCGATCTGCTAGCCACTTCTTGGCTATCGACTCCAGTACCATGATGAACGAGGGCATGCCATAGCTGAGCGCAGCAAAGAGTTTTAAGGGTTTTTAGAGTTTAAGGAAAATGTGTTATGCCTTACCGCGGCTTTGGCGGAAAATACGTTCCAGCAGCCAGTGGTGCCAGATCTGGCGTTAGCCATACGCTCATCGGCCAGCCGCCACTGCCCTTGGACATGAGCAGGAACTGCATGTAGACCTTGTCTATGTCGGGTCGCTCCTCACGATCCACCTTGATGTTCACAAAATGTTTGTTCATCACCTCAGCCGTGGCGGCATCCTCGAACGACTCATGCTCCATGACATGACACCAATGGCACGTGGAATAGCCCACAGACAAGAATATCAACTTGTTCTCGCTGCGCGCACGCTCAAAGGCTTCCTCACACCAGGGATACCTTTCAAGATGGTTGCCAGAAAGGTTTTTTAGTTGGCAGCAGGCACTTTCTGGTTAACCAGAACTTACCAGTCGACGGGATTATGCGCATGCTGTAGCAAATATGGCGACTTGGAAGTTGCTAATCTGTTGACGTGCTTTGGCGGCTGCGCCTTTGTTTCGCCACCCGTTGCCATGCCACGAAACAGGTGCTGCTTTTGCTGATGCTGCGTCTGTGCTGTTGTTGTCGTTGTTTTGCTACTGTTTAACCTTTTGTATTAAATTGTAGTGAGCAATTGATACTTTATTACTTACTCGTTTATTGGCCAACTACGTTGTAATTGTGTTTGAGGCGCTGTAAATGACAAAGCGCTTCTAATCCAGTTTTGGCAGAGTGTTTTGCCTCTAAACATAGCAATTTAATTGATAATATTTAATCGAAAGGGGACCCCATCAGCTGATTGAATTGATCAGCTATTTATGTTATCGATTACAAATCAATAATATTAATACGTTTACACGAAAAACAAAAGCTAATATTTGCCACGTTAACATTCGTTTCAAATTATAAGAAAACACGTTTGGTAACTTAAATTATTACTTTCCTTAGTAAATAAGCAATACTAGATGATGAAATATCTACGGCTGTCATCGATAAATAACGTAATCGATAGTTACATTACGATATTTATATTCAATAGTTTAAACGCGATATTTGCAAGCAACAACACGTGCTTGAACAGCAGTGGCAACGCCAAAGGGTACTGCCAGATCAAGACTCAGCGCGGTAAAATTCGAATTCAAAGTTTTGTGACTGAGTTATATAAATTGTTTTAAAATTTTTATTAATGCATACAGTTTATCTTTGCTTTTGATAATTATGTAAAAAATTGCTTACATATATGCGGTTGATACATAGTTTAACCTACATGCTAATTGAAAATCACAAATGAACATAAAATATTTATACATTATAGTGTGTGTGTGGTGAATTTTAAGCACATTAAGTTAAGTTAAATACACACAGCCCGACCAGCAGCTAAGGCAATTCTCGCAAACAGCTCTCAACTTATAGTTGACAGCACGGAAAATTGAATTGAGAACCCAGCTAGCAATCGCTTTGGACTAGCGCATCGCTTAAGGCGTTCAACTGCTCCTCGCTGCTCTTGATCCTGTCGGAGAGGTCGCGTGCATCGGCAATCAGTTTGGCCTTCATATTAATAAAATAATCATAGTCGGCGCATATATCAACGTTGAGATGTTTGCCAATTAACTTGGCAATGCTGCTGCCACGCCTATCGATGTCGGACTTGAGCCGTTGCGCCTCCTCCAGCTGTTCATAGAGACGTTCACGTTTTGCTGCCAGCGTACTCTGTAAGATGCAAGATAAAGAATATTTAGTTGTGTTCCCCCATAGGAATATGGTCATATGGTATTACCTTCTCCTGCTGGCTGCTATGCGTCTCTAGATTGCTTTCAGTTTGCGCCAATCGCTCTGAGAGCGAGAGCAACAGGCTGGTTATGTGACCAACATCATCGATGTAGGTGCGGAACTTGGAGGCTTCGCTGGGACGCACCTTCTCCGTTAATTTGGCCAGCAAATCGAGGCCCAGTTTGTCATTAATGCTGCACTCATCGCAAATTGTTTGCTGCTCACATTTGAGCGAGCCAATTTTTTGGTTCAACTGCTTAATTAGCGCGCGCTGTAAGGGCAAAGATGTCGGTTAGGATGTGGTTTCTAATCAGTACAGGGTTAAGGATACTCACCAGCTGCTGCTTGATTAAATTCGTGCACTCCGCATCGCTTGCATCGTCCTCATCCGTCAGCTGCAGCTCCACACTGACCAGCTGCAGCTCGGTCGTAACAAGAGAGTTGCTAGGGCTGGAGCTGGAGCTGTTGCTGTTGCTGTTGCTGTTGTTACTGGCGCTGTCGCCCTTCATGCGCATCAGCGTCGAGGTGCCCACATCTCGCTTGGCCGGACGCAGCTGCACATTTGGATTATACAGATTGCTGACATACTGTGTCGTTGGCTTATATCTTTTTGGTGTTAGAATTTCGATGAGTTTATCGTTGGGCAACAGCTGCTTGATCAGCTCCATGGCCGACTGCTCGTACTCCAGCTCGATGGCCTGCTGCTGGCGTGGCTGTAGCGTTGTCCGTGTCTGTTGCTCCTCGCGCGTCGCCACCAGCTCATTGTCCAGCAGATCCTCGTCTGTTTGGCAGGCCATGTCCGAGGTGCAGGGCGTGGGATTGACAATCAATACCAGCTCGCTGCGCTGCATTAGTTGTAGGCTATCCATGGACGAGGCTTCCGGCATGGCTTCAGCTGCCGGCTCCTCCAACTGATCATTTGCTGCTGGGCTGGGCGGCTGCTCTGTGGCTGTGTCTGTAGCTGTAGCTGGCTCTGTTGTGCTGCTCGTGTTGCAGCTGCTCGGCTTGCCATAGCTGCTCAGCAGACCCGTATCACACAGATGCGCTGACATTAGCTGTGACTGCAGTTGTGTTATCTTCTCGATATTCTCACGCAACGACTCCTGCCTGCTGACCGGTGGCTTTGACTGCTGCGTCGTCGCCGCCGTCGCCGCCGTGGTGCTAATCAGCTCAGCGCGAAAGATGTGCGCTGCTGCATCAGCATTGACATTCGCATTAACTGGACTGCACTCCAGCGAGCTGTTGCTCAGGCTGCAATCGGAATTGGCCGGCGAGAGCAGCTGCGGCGGTGTCGCTGGCAGCGTTGCCTCCTCCAGCGTTGTCTCCAGATTCTGAGCGACCTGCTTCAGATCGACCTGTGACTGGGTGATGTATGTGGCATCGTTTAGGGATTGCAGCTGCTTAACGTCGTACGACTGAGATCGCGTAAATTGCGGCGCTGGCGATCGGCTCTTGCTGTAGGCGTGGTTCAGCGTGGGCGTTGAATACCGTTGCTGCTGCTGCTGCGGATGCTGTTGCTGCTGGCCATAGATCATGGCATAGGCAGCATTATTGCCGCCAACAGCATTTGCCGCTGTGGGCGTGGCATTCGTTGCAAGATTGTTATTGGAGCCATAGCGCATGGCGACAACAACATCGCCCGGCGAACTGGGCGTCATCGGCTTGACCGGCTGCTGTTGCAGCTTAACACCCAGCGGCAATACATCCGGCAAATTGTTGGACATTTTCAGTTTGCCAGCAGCAGCGGCCGCCGCAGCAATGCCATAGCTGGGCTTGCTGTGCGCCACCAGATCCTCGTTGGAGGTGAGCGTGAGCTTATAGATGCCATGATCCGGATCTGTGTTGTTCAGCTTCTCCAGACTCTGACGCGGCAGATACGAGGCCTTCGAGTTCGATCTGCAAGGAAACGAATGCAAGAGGCAAGTTAGTTGGGATTGCTGGAGATAGCTAAGCTTATAGAAGATGGATATATATATATAAAATATATAAGATCTTATGGCATACATTATACAAAAAGCAGTTCAACACTAAATATATATCTATATAAACTTGACTAAAGTCCAGCCAAACTGTCAACCAACTGCAACTGCCACTGCCACTGCAACAGCAACAGAAAATCTTGTGCAACTTTTCAGTCACGTGTGCGAGGCTAATCAGCATATGAAATTGCCTTTAACACAGCCCTACCCAAAATCGTAGGCAAATGTCAATCGTTAAGGCGAACGATATATATGCGATATATATATACATATGCACATATATGCAGAGGTCATCTGCTGGGGGTCATCGCAGTTCACGACTTGTCCCACAGTAGCCACATTTATTATGTAAATCTGGCGAAGCAAGAAACGAGCTGCTAATTGAGTCCTCCATGGGATCAGCTGCGCAGATCTTAACAGCTCAGCAGCTCATCATCAGCAGCAGCTACATTTCACAGCACCCACATGGCGAAAGTAGCTGATCCACAAAACAAGACAATAATAAAACACAGAAAGAAAGAAAAAAAAAATATAAAAATAAGCAAAGCCCAAAAATTATTCTGTGCACGATGCGCGGCGACAACATTTTTGTTTTGGGGTATTTAAAAACGAAAGTGAAATGTTTACAGTGCAATTATAAAGAGTTTTATGTTTCAGTTTCAGTTTAGTGTGCGCTGAGGCGCACTTTTAAGGGGGCGTGGCGGGCAGAGCGAACAACTTTCAAAAAAAAAAAAAAAGTGCTAAACTAATTTTAAATTTTCAACAATTTTGGCTTTTCGCTTTTTTGCAGCTTGGCCACCCACAGAAGTGTGTACAAAATGAAGGTGTTGCCGCTAACGGTTAATATTTTTGGCCAACAAAATGTGCGTATAAACTATAATATATATATATATATAAAAGAAAGCCGACATAGAAATGCTTTGCATAAATTAAGCTACATTTTGGCTGCTTACATCACACTCAAATCTATCTGTATCTGTATCTTTGGCTGTGTATCTGTATCTGTATCTGTCTATGCATTTGCATAAGCAAGCCTTTTGTCTAGTTCCCAATGCCTCACACAACACATTTTTTGATTGTAGCCGACAAAACGCAGCGCAGCGCAGCTTCTTCACTTTCTTTAACGCAGGCATCCGTCAGATACATTAGCCGTAGATGTATCTACAGCTGCTGCTGCTGCTGCTGCTGTTGTTGCTGTTGATAGCTGTCCACTTGTTGCTTCTCTTAATCACTTCCGTTCGCCTGTTAAGTAATATGCAACACAAGCTGTGGCCGTCTGCCTCTCTGTCTTTAGCTAATTTTGCCTTGTTTATTGTTTTAGTTTTTCGTTTTGGCAATTTGCATATAAAAGATATATTTTTGCATATTACAGAATGTCTCACAAATTGCTTATACACACATATATAAATATGTGGCTGCCACTTCCTATCTTTTTATCTTGTTTGGCAGGAAAAGTGTGTGTTGATTGATATCCTAAGCTCAGCATTTACCTATGTTTACCTGCCTTTTGTTTGCCACACGCTTATCTAACATAAATATTTTTTACTAAAAATTATAATCTTTAACTCGGGTTTACACTGGGCTCTAAAAGTGCTTGACATTTTCTTTGTATGATAATTCTCTGTGTGTATTTAATTTGTCATCAAAGATACACACACGCACACACACACTCGCACACATCTACACTTAGTCTGTGGACAAGCCCCCTCTTAGCTCACACTTATATACATTTCTTATATCATAAGTTTAATTGAAATTTTGATTGAGCAAATGCGCGCATTTGAAGCTAAAAATAACAACAATAATAATGTTTAAAAATAACTATAAAAAACTTATTGTAATGAGAAATTAACAGCCATGAAAATGTAAATATACTTTGTCATAGTTTTATCTAGCTAAAAAAGCAAAAAAAAAAACAAATTTTTGCCTTGCCTGAGTCAGATTTAAGCTTTTATAATTATTTTTTTTGTTTGCTAAATATTTTTGTCGTTTATATTACTAGTAAGATTTTTTTAATTTAATTAACTTAAAGTTGTATGTACCTAAATTATTTATATATATATATATATATATATATATATATATATATATATATATATATATATATATATATATATATATATATATATATATATATATATATATATATATATATTTGATTGCCAGCTAATTTTTTTAGAGAAGCAAAGCTTTATTTTACATATTAATATAGTTTATATTTTAATATACTTTTCTTAGTAAAAAGTTTTTTTTTTGTATTATGTATATAAATTTTATGTTTATATTTCTAGCTAATTATTAAAAAAAAAATTTAAATGAATTAATGCAATAATAACACTAAAAAAAACATAGTAAAAAAATTAAATTTTTATATAAAAGTTTTTATCATACTAATATAAATAATAAAAACCAAAATTTGAAATTTTTATATTATTTATATTATATTATAATTATATTATATTATAATTATATTATATTATAATTAGTTTTATAATAATTAAATTAGCATTATTTACTTACTTAGTATTATTACTTACTTATATCTAATTGGAAATTCGAGACCCTTTAGTAACAATTTGATATCAATAAATACGCACAGAACAAAGCAAATTCTTTGTATTGCTCGCCTAATCTATTGATATCACTATATTTAGCTATAAAAATGTTAAAGCTGTCATAAAATCTATAGACTAGACTTTAGTTTGTATTTAACTAAATTTACAATGAAACAATTGTGCTGCCACAGATAAGGCAAAGTAAACGAAGGTGCCCAACTCAAGTTCATAGAGAGAACAAATAATAAATAAATAATAAAAAAAGAAGAAGAGAGAAGAAATACTGTCTAATCAGTCTCAGAGCTGATTTGATATGGACTCAGTCTTTGGCTTTAAGAGAGCTTTTTACTTTTTTTTATATAAAAATATAAATATATAATATGCTATAGATTTATGAAATATATATGCATATATATATATATATATCAAACATATTAAGGCATAATATATATTTAATAATGCTCTTGAGCAAGAGCTGACATAACTCTGCCCTTCTATTTATCATATAAAAAGAAATGAAGAGGAAATTACGCCCGCAATGCTAAGTAGTCGGATTATAATGCTCAGATTTATGGCAAATTATTGTTTTATATGTTTATTGTTTAGCTTTGTTTTTTTTTTCTTTTTCGCAAAACATTTCTTTGAATGAGTGCTTAAATGTTGTATAAGACACTGAAAGAAAGGGCTCAAGCGAAATGCTTGGCTGGACTTGGACTTGGTCTGTGACTGAGAGTTGAGGAATTTGAATTTGTAGCTCTTAGTTTTCAGCCTCTCTATCTCTCAGTCTCTGTCTCTGTCTCTGTCTCTGGTCAATAACATTTCCATTTCCATACAATTAACGCATATTTTATGGCTATTTGTGTGTGTTTTTGGCCATGTTTGGGGCGCTGGTTATGTGATGCAAATTATGAATAGCAAAAGAGCAGATTTTGATAAATTGGCCTGGCCTTTTGTTAGTGTTGCATAAGCCCGCTGCTGATGGGCTTCAGTTGCTGCGGGGGTTCACTGTACACAGCCAGAAATTAAGTAAAATGAAATTGGCAAACGCATACTGTCAACCGGCGCTTGTTGCATGTGGCAAGTGGCAAGTGGCCAGTCTGGGGTGCTTTGGCCTCGCTGCGTGGCATACGCAATGCTTGCACTATAATTTTTTTTCTTCTGCTTCTTCTTCGTTTTTTGATCAGCAGCAATATAACGAGCTGCCGCTGCCGCCGACTAGTTTTCTTTGATAGTAAAAGTATTTTATTTAAATATGCCGACGCATGGAAATCACGTTTTTAACATCTCGTCTTAACATTGAGCCACAAAACAAAAAAAAAAAAAGAAGGCGAACAAATGTACGCTGTTGCGGTTGTTGTTGCTGTTGCTGTTGCTGCTGTTGTTGCTGCTGTTGTTGAAAACATAAACATCTCACAAGCTGAAGCCGAATAAAACAAAAAAAAAACACGACGCCAAACCGGATTGAACGCAGTCGCACACATTTTCACTTGCCGCAAAATGACGTCAAGAGTCCAAGACACAGTCAAAACAGATGGCCAATACGCGCAGTTAGCGTCGCAGTTGCCACTTTCTTCATGAAATTGCACTGAGGTCAGAGCAAGGGGGCATCAAGAGGTCACACACACACACACACACGAAACAGCGGCAGAACAAATTGCAGCAGCAAGTGGCATGCTCTTCAAATATCTTGCAGCTTCAACTGTCATAAGACTCTGGTATTTAGGCTTTTTATTTTTATACTTTTTTCTCTCTCAGTACAACACATCAAACTATGGCATAAATTTCTCTTGGAAAAATGACTGTAAAATACCAAAAAAAAAAGAGACAACAAGAAGAAGAAGCAGGAAAAGCAAGACTAAAAAGTAAAGCTAAGACAACACAAGAAAAGAAAAGAAAAGAAAAGAAATGAAAAGTTCTCTCTTGCCATCTCAACATATTGAAAGTGGATGTTGGCTGTTGGCTGGCAGCATCTGCCGCTTGAGTAGCCAACGAAAACACTTGAAAGACGCTGCACAGTGGCGCAAGCTAAGCAAATATTGATTGATATCGAATTTGGCAAAGCCAGAGAGCACTTGGTTCAATTGCAGGCAGTTGATGAGGAGACGATCATAGAGTTATCAGGAGTATGTTTTGATACAACTTGTCGAGTTCCGATAATAACTTAAACTAGAATTTGACAGCAGCAGAAATTGTGAATTTTTAAATGAAATTGAAAATTAAAATTAAAAAATTTGCTCAAAAATTAGATAATCCTAAGCAAGAGTTGTTTTTAGGCATCTCAAAAAGTCAAAGTTCAAATCAAACTTAAAGCCAAAACCAAAATGAATTCTATTCCAGATACTTGCTGCAGCAACATTTGCTC